CGATACCGATATTTACATGCCGATATATCGTATCGTATCGTATCGGCAAACAATAGATGGCGTTACTATTTAGACACGGTCAAGCAAAAACCGGGGAAGTCCCGATTTATAATTATTCCGTTGCAGTTGCAAGGAAACGTTTGGCATTGCGTCATCTATTCTATTTATAGATTTATACATGACCGAAGAAAAAACCGGGGAAGTCCCGTTTTATAATTCCGATGCGAGGAAACGTTCGTAACTATAATAATAATAGTGAAGTGAGTAACATTTCGGATTTCGGGGAAGACCTTTAATAGACTAAATGCAGATAGGGCTGAAATGTTAGTGTTTTTGCATCATAATATCAAAAAGTTAAATTTTAAGTATTAAGTATATACTGTATTTAGAACCTGCTATATTAGGTATATTTGTTGTTTTTTTTAACTTTTTTAGTAAAAATGTTAACTTTAAAATAAAACATTTTATTTTCTTTAATAAAGTATTTCATTTATGCACTGAAGAGTTAAAACAGCTAAAAAAATTGTTTGCCGATATATTGGCGCAATTACCTTGCCGATACGATACGATACCGATAATCGGCAACAATTGCCGATATGCCGATATCAATATCGGTATCGTTCTACCACTAGAATTAATTTGACTTAACGTGAATTAACCTGATTTAACGTGAATTAATTTGAATTTGAATTTTTGGTGTACACCAAAAATGGTACTTGTTTCCCCTTAGATTCATTTCATTTCTTCTTTTGGATTATTTTGCAAGAACGGTTCAAGCCCTCTCATAATAAATTCGATTTAAAAAATTTAACAACTTTGAATTTTGAAGACTATAAATTATCTTACCTGTAAATCGGTGGAATGTAACAGCATCTCGTGAGCATATTTATTCTCGGCAGTCTCAACATCAGCTGTCAACTCATGTATTTTAGTCTGAGCAACGACCAAAGCAGATTTACACTCGTTCAAATCGACCTTACTAGCCTTGAGCTCTTCTTCAATTCTATGCAATTTGCTTCGTGCATCCACATTAACGTCATCATCTTGTATTGTTAGCTCCCCTTGAAGTTCACTGCACTGCTCTTCAAGTTTCGCGATCTGCTGCTGCTTTTCATTTAGCGTCGTCTCCATAGTCTTTTTATACTTCTCTTGTTCTTCTAATACAGCCTTGAGTTGATTTTCGGCACCTTCCGCCACATTGCAGTGCTGTTCGATGGTGTCTTTGGCAGTTTTTAATTGCAATCGCAACGACTGCACCTCTGCCTGGCTGTCGCTTAGTATTCTTTCCAATTCGCTAAACTTATGACTTTCTACGCTATTTTCCGGAATGACCATGAGGGAGTTCTTCAGTTTTTTGGTTAGCTCTTCTATTTGAATTTGTTTCGCGATTAAATCATCACGTGTTTCCGCCACCTCCTTCCGAAGCTTGGAGGCGTGTCCTTTCTCTTCTTCCATTTGAGCCTAAAACAAAAGGCTAGAGTAACATTTTAAAGATAGTAGTTGACCGACCTGTGCCGCACGAGTCTGTTTCTCAAGATGGTCGCCCAACTCGCGGAAACGGTCCTGCTCTTCTTGTAGACGGCGTCGTAAAGCTGCACATTCCCGGTGCGCTTCGTCCAGTCGCTCTTCGAGCCTGATTCGACTCTCCGCGTCGTTTCTCTCCAAAGTTGCTTTTATCAGTTCGATGTTCGTTTGCAGTAAGTTTTTGGCGTGAGTCTCCTTTTTCAAAAATTCCACCTCTTTCACCAATCGTGACTCTCTATCTCGTAAAAGGGCGATTTCCTTTTCTAAATTGGCCAATTTTACTTCCGCCGTCGAAAGCTTCGTTTGGGATTGCAAAGTTTCGTCTTTCAAATATGTCATCATTTGTTCGTGCTTTATGTTGCTTTCGCTGTAAATTTTGTTTTGTTTCTCCAAAGCGGAAATCTGTTTTTTGTAAACTTCCGTATTGGATTGCATTACTTTGAAACGTTCATCGTTTAGTTCCGAAACTGATGTAAGTTTGCAATTTTGGCGGGTAACTTCTCGTACTTCTTTCCGCATCTCTTCCAGCTGATCAACCAACATCTTTTCATTCACACTTTTTTCTTTTCGATATGTATCATTCTCCTCTTTAAGCGTGCTAATTTCTTTTTTTGCTTTATCAAGCTGGCCTTCCAATGTCTGCACCTGCACCGCAAAACAACAAGAGCATAAAACACTATCCAAAAGTAGAAAGCACTAGTAGATAATAACAGTAGAAATGGTCCCAGTATATTACCTTGAGGAACACGTTCTATTATTCCCAATAATGTAAAAGAAAAATTTTTTATTGATACAAACCTTATCATCACACCGAGACTCGGAATCCTCCTGACCCTTTGAACTTTGGGAACCCTTTTCACCCTCAAGTCTGTCGAGGGTCAGACCACCATCTTCGCCTATTCCCTTCGAAGCTTGCTCGTACAGAGTCTTATACATGTCACGCTGGTTAACGATCATACTCATCATTTTATTTTGACTGTCTTGCTGTTCCAATAAACTACTCTGCGTCTCCTTCATCGTCTCCAACTTCATCTTCAGTTGGGCGATCGCCGTCGGATCCAACGCTTCCACTTCCTCTTGCTTTGAACTTAACTCGCGCACCAGTGACAGCAAACGTTGATTGGTACCCTGCAGCTCAGTAATGTCGCTGAACGTAACGAGACGTTTACTTATAATTTCGCCCGAACTCATGCTATCTGACATATCCTGGTCCGGGGAGGTGACGTTTGATCCGACGCGTGACAATTCGATCTCTCGTAGCAGATGGCAAACCTAAATTTTGGAGGTGTGGAGTAAACTGAATATAATGCGTGTGAACAAAATAATGGTACAACACACATCAAACATGGAACACTTTATATATTGTTTGTTTACCAGATTTTTATGAATTAAAGATGAAGATAAGTGTGGAAAGGGGTGAACGCTCACAAGAAGACCACTATTTTTTGAGGACGACTGCAGTAAGTTACGTTTAATTTTTAAAAAAATATAGTTTTGTGTTGGAGGCAGAAATTTGAAAAATTTGTCCGCAACTAAGAAAGTTGGCTCTGCTCACACACAACCCATTTTTGTACGTGTTTTTTCAATTCAATTTTGTAAGAAGAATCTTCACTTAAAACTTCGGAAAAAGTGACCCACAATAAGAAAGTGAACTCTGCGCATGCGCAATCCATTTTTTGAGGCGTAATTTCAATTTTCTTGTTTTCCTCTGAAATTTCAGAATAATTGAGTCACAAATAAGAAATCTCACTCTGCGCATGCGTAATGGTTTTTTGCGTCTTTTAGTCCGAGGATGTTCAGTCCATCTACATTACCACCTCCACGTTAGTAAGGTACATTGCATTGGGGTAAAAAAATGACCCTCCTCCTCCACTTTTTAGACGAAAGTACACCTTTTGAAGCCCCAGGAATCCAAATCAGACACAATCTCAATGCTGTCGATTTGTCTGTACTCCCCAAATTTGGTACACATATTCTTAAGACATAAAAGGAAGAGCTGAAATGCTATTGGGCAGAATCGCGCATGCGTAGGCACGCGGGTGGTATCTGTGCTAGCCACAATTTTTAGCGCATTTTGTTAAGATTAAAAAAAAATGTGCTAGTGTTTGCGTTTTGTCCGTCCGTCCGTTCGTCCGGCCTCACTTCTGCCGTTTTGAACCACTTCTAGGGGATGGTGAAGGTGTGCCAGATGGCCATACAATTTTGGTGCCTTAAAGGGGGGCCCCCATGAATTATTTCACGAGATGCTGTTTTCGAAAGTAAAACGTGCATAACTTTTACATACGACAACCACTTGGTCTCAGATTTTGCATACGCATGCCTTTAGTGGTGCCAAGTTAGGGAGGTAAACGCACATTCTACCCCTTCATGGTATTCTAATGAAAGGTCTCAACGAAAGGAATTAACTTCTACCAATCATAGCCCTCCTCCTCGACAAACTATAACTTTGCCGCACGACTCATTTTCGAGATCAGGTGACGACAGAAAGTGGATGGGGGGTAGAAATTAATGTTATCTTTTATGGTATTCTAATTAAAGGTCTCAACAAAAACCATGAATGATTTTCTGACCCCTCATCAAAAGAGGGGGTTAGAAGGGGGGGGGGGGGTAGTGGAACTGGTTTGTTTTATCCTTCATGGTACTCTAATGAAAGGTCTCAAAGAAAGGAAATAATTTCTACCAACCATGGTGCTTATCCTCGACCGCTTATCGTGGTCGGATATATTCCCTTATATCTTCAGACCGGATTGTCGGAAGAGGGTACTCACAAAGAGCGATTAGGACGTCTGGAAGCAAAATATCCATTGGTGATTTCAAAACATTAAAAGCGAATATCTCGAAAACGGTTTGTCGGAGGAAAGTATTGGATATTTAATTTGAGTTTTAAATCAAGTTTAATCAATATTCTTTAAATATTGGAGAGTATTTTTGTATTGGATACGTTATTCAATTTTGGAGATAATTTTATTTAGATATTGACTAGAATAAACCAGTATTTCTTTTATTAATTTGATTTCACTGTTAATTCCCTTGTATCTTCTCAGTTGTATACAGAGAAAGTAAAGTATTTAAAGAAGCTGGGTGGCGCTCAACCCTATGATAAATACAACCAGGAACTGAAGATTACATACTCTAAACGAATCAACCACTGAAGATCTCAAGCCTTTAATTTTTTCCAACCCTGAGTTAGTTGGCTGTTTAATTCGACGGGGTTAAGTTAAAGCAGCGCCAACCCCATCTCACCGTCATAGATCTCAAGGATCGTTCGATATTCAGTTGTATAGGATTTTTTATATGAGTGAATTCAGTCTGTCTGTCATCATCATAGCGGATTTACGATAATTTAACCGGGTTGATAGAAATCACCATAGAAACAATTGTGGTAGTACTTGTAGCCATAGCAAAACCTACCCACCCGGTTAAACCGGTTGAATTATAGTAAATCCCCATAGATCCAGTATCCACACCTACAACTACAATTTTTTCACTCTCACAATCTTGAATTAAAATTCAAACAGTTCACTTGTAACATTAATTCTGGGATATACTGTATATAAAATTCCCGCTAACAAAAAAAGAATTGAGTTTTAAAAAATTTTAAGTATTCAATATTATCTTGATAAAATAATACCGTGGCTAATATTCTAGAAATCCTGATAGATATCGAGGCGCCAAAAAAGATTAGCCATCAGCGATAAAAGCGAAAGAGGATGTGACTCATTCTTTCCTGTAAATATGATGTGTTTCTTGAATATTTGCTATATAAGCAAATCACATTATGCTTCAGTCAGTTCCAACATCAACACGCTCGGCTTATATGGTATATATTGAGAGTGATAAAATACTAACTAACTGTTATGAATTAATCAATTTTAAGATTGTTATAAATTTATTGTTAGTTAATTGTAAATAAATAAATCAGTAATAAGGATATCTGCCGAATTACTGAGTCTACTGTATATCCAGTCTTTTACAAATCTAAAATTCGTGGAACGTATTAATCAGGGTAATATATAACTAATTGTAATCTTAGATCTGTTAAGTCAACACAGAACTCTTGAACATTACACATTTCTGGGAATTCTGGAAAAGTCTGGGAATTTCAAGGAAACTTCTAGGGATTGTTCGGAAATCTCTAGCACTTCTTGGGAATTCTTCGGTAAGTCTTTGGGTATTCTCCGATAGTCTTTAGCAAATCTCGGGTATTCTTTTGTGCACATTTTTCACTATGTGACAACCCTTCATTTATTCTATTGGCAAAAATTTCAAAATTCTAATTTAAAAAAAAAAAGAGTACGCATTTTCACGGTAAAGAACTCCTCTACGTTCAGGTCCACACTTACCTCTCATACTTCTACCAACTTTTGGAGTAACGATCATCAGCAAATCGATAAACAAACGCAAATAATTTCTACAAACACCAAGTGTGCCATTAGTGCTGCTCAACTGTACCATTATTTATGTTCCACATACAACGACCTTACCTGGCGACTTAAATCAGCAACCTCTTTTTTATAACGATCATTCTCCCGTAAAAGAATATCTTCGTTATGCTTGGCCTGTAGAGTTTCCTCACGATACTGCTGGCACTCCACCGAGAGAGCGTAGTTGTTATCGGTCACCTCCTTGAGATTTTCCATTGCGGTTTCGTAATCTTCTCTCTGTTTCTTTAACAACGGGCCCTTGTCCTCAAGTTCGTTAATGATGTGCTGTATGTACGACTGTAACCTCGCGCACTCTTCCTTTTGCGTGATCAGCTCATTGCTCACATTAACATACTGAGTGTAAATTTGAGTCAGTGACATTCCGGGTTTGATCAGTCGAGAGGCTGCAGCCGCAGATGGAGAAATCTCTTCGATTTCCTTTTGAAGATTTTCGTCCTTACACGCGTTGAATAGCTCGTTACTCACTTCCAACTCCTGCTTTAGCATGGCTATGCACTCGTTTTTCTTAGCGATAATTTCATCATTGGCAAGCTGCATTTCTTTATGCTTTGTCTCTAATTCGCCGTACTTGTTTGATGTTTCTTGGAGTAGCGTTTGTAACTCTTTCACAGCATTCGAGAGGTGATCTACGTGGTCTTGGTTTTGCTCGCCTGCCGCCTTGTACAGTTCGGCCAGTTTTGTCTGTGCGGCTATTTCGTGCTGGTAAGCTTCGTAAGTTTTCGCATCTTTCTCATTTCGCTTCTTCAAGTCATCCATCAACCCTTCGATCTTTTCGTTTAGATTATCGTTAATATCATTGAGACTGCGAATCGATTCAAGCGCAACAGTCAGCTCCTGCGTTTTATCCGTTAACTTATTCTCTAACTGCACACACCTCAAACTGTTATCTTTCTTCATATTTAATAGCTCCTCGGTGCGCTCGTCTAAACTTTGAGTTAACGTTTCCACCTGATTGTTTAACAGCAGCTTTTCTTGATCAAGACGTTTTTCTTTGTACTCGAGTGTCAGTTTCATCGATTGAATTTCGCCGTATTCTGCCAGAGCTGTACATTTTGCGTTGATAGCATCGTGCAACTGATTTGTTAGAGTTGTAATTTCCATTTTCTGTCGTTCAACTTCTGCAGTGGTTCGCTCAAGTATGTTAGCCAATTCATCTTTTTCTCCTAACATAATATTCTTTTGATGTCGACAATCGGCGGCCTCGGCTTCTAGACGATTGCATGTCGTTTGCAACTTAGTTATATCGGATGTACAAGTCGAAATTTGTGTTTCTAATTCTGCAATGGTGCGTGTAGCAGCTTCCAGTTTAAGATTCCCTTCTTGTACGTTACTATCAGCAGTCTTCAGTTTCTCATTTGTTTCATTTAAAATGGTTTCTGCAAGCAAAATTATGGCGTCGTACAATATTATAAAGACGTAACTGCTTACCCGTATTAAATTTACTAGTTTCAGACAACGCCTTTGTAGTAATAAGTTCGTCAAACTTCTCCTCGACGAAGTTGCATATTTTTTTTGCAATTTCGGAGGGAATTTGCGACCATTCATCCTCAGAAATTGCGGATGCAAACAAAGTACGGTTAGCATCCTCCATTTTAATAACACAATTGGCACTTAGTTTAATGTAATTTATGATAGTCGGGTAAACACATACTTTAAAATTCACTGAAATTCGTATGGATAACACAAATAGCGTTCTTTACATACAAGTAGCAAACATGCCGGTTGAGCTCTACTCCCACAATGCCTTGCACGCGCATGAAAATGCTACATTGCAATACCAATCACCAAAAATTAAAACTCCCAATAACCTTTCTGGTCTAGTCATTAGCATTCAAATTTAAGAGAAAAAAAGGTAATTAGCATGATGCGTGCTTTTATATAACTAAGCAGACATTCACCCATTCTCAATTTATGGCCTTAATTTTTCAGTAATTTCCATAATTAAAGACCATGAAGCTGTTGCGTTTTGTTGGTAGCACTATTATATATAGGGCGTCCCACTTCGAATAGCAAATTTTAGGTACGATTAGTGTAATCTATTTATAGATCAGGGCATCGATTCCCGAAGCATTGAATTCCCGAAGTTAGTCGATATGCTCCGTGATGTGACCGGCTGCCATGACGTCATGATCGTATACGATAGGGATAAGTTAAAGTTTAGCTGCATTCCCGAATCGTGGACAAACTTTATGCGCTAATCAATCACAGACAAGAATAGAACTGTCATTTGTCAGTTTTGTATTTTGTTTTGTTTTTGCATTATGTATACTGTTATTAACTTATACTTATTAATAATCAGAAAATCCTGGAACAATTCCATGTTTTATTTTACAGAAAATACGTGAATGTATAGGTTAAGGGCACTGTAAAAATCACCCAAGCAAAACAGCTGCAAGATCCGTCGTGTAGCTGCAACTGCGCATGACTTTCACGCAACGAGTGGTCTAGACCAGTCGTTGCGTTCGATCAACTTATCGCTCGATGTGATAGGTTCGAAAATGCAGTCACATTCGCGTTCACATCAAGGTCAGCCGATGTGAACACAGCACATCTTCGGGAATCGACGCCCAGCGCTTTTCAAAGTGGTGGTCCACGGACAAGTGCCGGTCCATGATCACGTGTAATATTTTTAATGTTTCGGAAAATTACTTTTATTAAGTTTCATTTATGTTTATTGTTACAAATGCAATAAAGGCAAACACGATAACAATGTAACCGTCCGCCACGTTGAAACTCGCCGAGAACCACTGTTCTAGATGACACATTCAGTCACACTGAAGACATGTAGTGTTTATATGGCAACGCCACACAATTCTACGTGACAGGCGTTTGACAATCAAGGCAACACTGCCATCAATTGTTTCGTATGTCTCCGGTGAGCTAACAGTAACATACTCCCAAACATCGTACCAGTCACGTGGGCGCACTCCAACACGGGAAACAGGGATATAAAATGGCACGCATCGGTATGAAAACTTCAATTCAATCTGCTTCTGTTAGATTGCTTGTTGTGTTGTATTAAAAATTTCCATCATACGTTGCGAACGCCAAATTAGTTCTATATAGTCCATATTCGCTTGCATTTAAAATGTCTCGCCTATCATTGATTTGTCACAAGAAATGCGAGCAAAAATGCCAGTGATATTGTCGTGACAAATGGAGCTAACTTCGTATGTATAAGCTACAAAAATACGAAATCATTTCTACTATAGCGGGATCCACAAGCTTTCGTAACAATAAAAATTCACAAAATTTTGTAATACAGACATTTTAAAGATTTTCAATGCTTAGTGACGATTGCGCATTTTTGTGGGAAATTACGGAACATGCTTGTTAATAATTTAATATCCTAATAAATATTAAATACAACTGGCAAATTTTGTATTTTTACAAGTATCCCCTCGTCTCTACCTTCTTATTGCGGTCCTGCATTTTTAGTGTACTCCTAATTTGCCCTACCTTGCGCCTACTCTGATTGAATACTCCCTCTCCAGTCTCCAGAATACCAAAACATGGCGGCGTTTTTTAAGATCAAAGCTAATAAATTAAAAACTTAAAAATTCCTCAATTTAGAACAGTAAACTCTGTTTGCGCGTGTATTTAAGAAGGTAATAATATCTTCAAATTGGCGCAATTACGTATTAAGGAAGTTGTGATTCATTTAATTCATTTCTAAAATTTGTTAACCTTACCATGGCCACCTTAGAAGATAAAATTCTAGGTGAAAAGTCCCACAATTATTGCAGCAGCAGTGAGGAAAGCGATGGTGAGGATGAGGCCACTTCCGAAACCGAAAAGGTAACAAAACCTCAAGTGGAGAACACACCACAGGAAGTGTTAAAATGGGAAGGCGTGTCACAAAATACCGGTCCAAAAGGTGTTATAAAGGATTGGCAAGGTTTCAGACAATTGGAAAAAGAGAAACGAGAAATTGAGGAACGTAACTGTATCGAGTTGGCGAAAAAATTAACTCTTACAGTTCAGACGGCGCTTGATGAGGAAAAAGAGTGGGCCGAGCTGGAAGCGGAACTGTTAGACGATCAGTTTCTACTAGAATATCAAAGAAAACGGATGGAGGAGATGGTAACTAAATTTGAGTCTCAAGCTCACTTTGGAAAACTTATTTATTTAAAAGACGGCAAAGAGTTTTTAAGTTGTATCGATGAAGAGGATCAACGGGTTACCATCATTATTCATATTTACGAAAATGAAATTGAAGCTTGCAGGGTAATGAACGATCGTTTGACTGAGTTATGCAAAATTTACACGAACACAAAATTTTGTGCAATTAAGGGATCTCAGGCGGGCGTCAGTTCGCAGTTTAAAAAGATCGGTGTACCTGCGTTGCTTGTTTATAAACAAGGTTCTTTAATTGCTAATTTTGTTAAACTTACCGATAAGTTAGGAGATCATTTTTACGTGGAAGATGTTATCCAACTGTTGGTTACACATGGAATATTAGTAGACAAAAGTCTGTGCCCACCTATTATTGCAAATTCGTACGATAGTGATAGCTCCTAAATTACTGTTAAGATTTTTATGTAACTTAATAACTACTTATTAACACTGCCATTTGTACATTCAATTTTTAAAGCTTCTAATATATTTGTATGTTTGATTCATGTATAAAGTATTAAAGGTTTACAGCTATTTTTGATTTTTTGTGGTATGTTTAATGACAAACCATAATGGGGTGCACTGTCTGCCCTTTTGGTTGAAATTGTAGTGACCACTCTTTTTTCCTGATTACATTAATTTATCAGAATCTATTTTATTGTTGCGGCGCCACACTCGTATAGTAAACCGTAATATTGTTAAAGATTACCTGTGCAACTAAAGCTTTTGTGTTACTGATTAGTTTCAACCGACTAACTCATATTTCAAATCAAATGAAGCATCTAAATTCATTGTGAAATTTGTAAAAAGCATACAATGTTTTTCGATATTAAAACGTGGAAATATTTATACTATACTCCACAAATTACCTAAATATTCATAGTTTATTCAAATACCTATGTTTATTTAAGAACCAACTTCTCAGACGGTCTATGAACCATGAGAATAGGTCTGTTGCCAAACAATGTTTTGTTTTAGTTGTTATGAGGTATAGCAAAATAAAGATGATTATTATTATTATTATTATATTTTTATTTTTTGCAAAAAAAATCTTACAGTTTTTATGTGTTTCTTAGTTTTTGAGAAATGTTTAATGAAAAGATAAACTATTTATTTTATTTATTAAATTTGTATTTTTCTCGACAAATAAGCACCATTGCAAAAAATGTTAAACGTGACTATGTCTTGATATGAGCAATGAGCTACAAAAAAGTCTAATGCAGTTTTTGTATCAGGTACAAAAAGGGGTCAGAGGACATTTTCAAAATGTTATACTATGACTACAGTATGTATACAGTAGTCAGAAAGTTTCAAGTGAAAAACATAAATTAATTTAGTAGAAAAACACATTAAAAGTACGATCAGTTGAGAAACCAAATGGCGTGGCTATGTACCTACTCCAGCCTCAGCTACCATAATTTAAGACGAAAAGGACATGTGAGATTGCCAGTACTAAGCACTTATGTTGTCCGTTATTGCACAAGAAAAGCCACAATAAGTAATAGAAGAAAGATTAATTATTGCTAAGACGCAAGAACTGCGGTCCGCACGAAAAGAAAGTAACAAATACCTACAGCGAAAAATTGTACTGTATTAGCCACTTCCTTCACAGAATAGTTGAATCAAATCATACAGAGCAACCTCACACTTCCTTGTGAAATACTTAATAACACAATGTAAATATATATATATATATATATATATATAATATATATATATATATATATAATATATATACTCCCCTCAAATTAGGTAACTCCAAAGGTAGTATCTAGTCTAAACTGGATGTTGTCACTTCACTCAACGAAAGCAAGTGTATTTTCTATTTAAACAAAATCCGCCGCCGAATCCGAAAATCGTAGTTCCCCTGGTCGGAGACTCCCGAAACTTATTGTTATAAACAAAAAATGCGAAAATGTCGTTTTTTTCGCATTTGGCTTCGAATATCTCGTGAACTATTGTTCTGAGGAAAAAATTGATAGAAATGAATTTGTTCAGAATCGAATTTTTTAGAAGATATACATGTTGGTCCTGAACGTTCATTTTTAAATGTTATTGTTTTTTATGGGAAAATATAAAAAAGTAATCGCGAAAATTAACAATTAGTTATTAAGTACTAAGTAAAATTCATCAATTTGAGAATCCGTATATTTGGATCCAGAAAGCATTCTCTCTAAACAGCCAGAAAGAGGTTTTTCGGACATTGGCAATATCCTGGTAGCCAGAACGCGTGTTGGTCAGATTTTTCGGCCATTGGTCGAAATCGGTGTTTGATTCTAACATATACATCAGAGCATAAATCGTATTTTTGTTTCAGATGTGAAGGTGTGTTGCCTAATCGTAGGGGTAGGTTACCACAGCCATTGTTTAAAGTATTTAAACAATGCCACAGCCTCCTAGATTCGAGAAGGTTTATTGATTTTTGGATTCCGGGATACCGCGCTCTTCAAATATGGAAAAATTTTTCAAAAGATATAAATTCTGAGTTTAGTTTAGGTACAGCTTCGAGCTGCATTGTGGACCAATAAGTCATACTATGACAAAAACTTACACAAAGGTACCTATATAGTGTCCCATTTATGACACTTTTCTAGGATATCTCTGTAATTTGTTAGTGCTATACAAAAAAATAAATAATAGGTAAAGGCGGGAAGTGCTCCTTTTGGGACAAACTTCAATTGGTCAAATCAAAATTTGAAAATATTCGCTGGCCTAATAACAGACGGAGGAAACAAAAAAAAATGTCAATATCATCAATGACCCTATATTTAAAACAAAGAAATGTTTATTACAAAAGATTATAATGATTGTTGAATAAAATGTAATGTTTTCAAAATAAGTACCTATACAGGATCAGGTAAAAAGGTTAACAGGTCTAACCATTATTTTTAAAGTGAATAACCAACATATTTTAATCTAAGAGATAGGATATTAAATTCTCCTATCAAAGATATAACACTAGGGATAATATTAAAAAAAGATCTATAAGTGATTCAAAAAGGTTAAAAAAATATTTTAAAAGATTCAAATAAATTTCAAAAAGGGATTTTTGAATATTTTTAATTTTCTAAAATCTCTTTTTAATCTTTTTGACCCAAAAAGAGCACATGACGCTTTATTATATATTATGTTTTTGATGGCACTAACAATTATGGATACCCTATAAGCACAGATATCTGTGCTATAAGTGTTGAAAATGCAACAATAATCTTTATCAAATGGGACACCCTGTACTTGGAGAAAATTTAATAAAATTTATGCTCAGAAGAATGCTGAATGATTGTTATGAAGTCCTTGTTGATGTCATAATTTATTGCTTCAATAACTTAAAATGGAAATATGAGGTTTCAATCTGTTTATTTTTGAAGTAGTCTTGTGTTAGAACATCTAACAATATTAAACACGATAAGTGTGTTGGTTTTCTTTAAAACGATTTCATTTATACAAATTATTTATCTCTTAATAAATCCACATTTCACACTATTTATAAATGTTCCGCATATATTTTATGAATTCGTCTTTCTTCTAAAACTGGGCAAACATATACAGCACAATATATTTATACTATTCAAAGTTAATAAAATACATAATTATAACTATATTATAACAACGTTTAAGCAGCTTTTTGTTATCAATAACAATGTACTTAAACCTTTTAGGCAATCTCAAAAACATGATTCGCAATGTAAGGCAAACAAGAATCGTTGATTATAACTTAAAATCATATTGCAAGTTTCAATACTGTCTATTTTTGTATCACGCAACTAATACTACTTTTCACTTAAACGATTAAGGAAGTTTTTTTTGCTTTCAATAATCGTTTTGTATTTTATATAACTTTGCAATAATTCGTTATACTGCTTACAAGACACCTGTTCATAACGCTCCTTCAATTCCCGTAACTGCTGAATTTCTCGTTTGCAGTCTTCTTGCTGCTTGTAAATGTCCTTTAATAGTTGTCGATACGCCTCCATGGACTGGCTAGTCTCTGTAAAAATATCGACTCTAGTCTTTGCGTCCATCACCTGGGACTGCAATTGAAATAACTGCAACTGAACTTCACAAGCATGAATTTTCTTATTCGTCGATTCGGGTAACGTTTTCAATTTTAGCTCGATAATCTCCTTGAGAACCGATATCAGTTCTTGCAGCTGCGAAGCGTACAGGCTTTGTTTATCGTTTAGTTCTTTCTTGTAATCCACTAGTATCTTATCGTCGACACTGATACCCAAAACTGAGTGGGTGTCACTGTTTTCATTGCTATAATCGATCCCCAACTCGTCTAATTCCTGGAAAAGTTTTCGACTTTTATTCATAATGCCTTGTTGGACGGTATTTCTAATTTGTTCCTTTTCTTCGTAGCGCAATTGAATATTAAGAGGGGCGAGTCCCAACAGGGTGTCATTAGATGCCAGTTCAAGGCAATCCTCCACTTCGACGGCCGATAAAATATCGAGAATTTTAGACTGCAATTCGCTAGGTAAACCAGATTCTTCTGTCGTGCAACTCATAGCTACATCTCGAATGATGGAGTATTCCTGGTACTTTCTTCTCTCCAATTGAATACATTCGTTCAGTTTTTCCACTTCATTATTTAATTTGTCAACACTAGCAATCGATTCCGAATTTTCGAAAATAACGGTACTTTTAAGAGACATATTTGTAGAAAGGCATCCGGCTTTGCAAATTATTTAGTTTCAATGCCAGTACGCAAAATGTAAACAGACAACAAACATTTTGATTTTCAAAAGTAATGACAGTTGACATATATTTCAACGTGATGCCGGTAATACAGAAAGCTTCATGATCGGTCTTGTATACACAGTTGTCAAGAAAGCATTTACAGTGATCGTATTGTACAATATGGTGCGCAAACCGTTTCTACACCCACATCACATAATCCAATTATATCAATCATTGCTTTATTAAATAGTCGTTGTAATGTTAATGATGTCATGATATAACATGGACGATATGTCATAACACTCATAACCTGTTTTACCTTGATTTCTTTATCCATTTATTGATATTCCACCGACGGTAACTACTTTGGGTAAATCCAAGGCGTATGTTGGGTAATGTGTCGTTCTAAATAATTCTTAGATTTGTTCCACGCCCTATTAATATAAGACTACAGACGGTGTAATCGTTCTTACTTTCAAAAAAAGAAACTCACGCTTTTCAGGTGTGGTTTATTGGTTGCATATCGTCACACTGAAAAAAATTAAACAAAGTAAATTAGCAATTACCCGTTAGGTATTTAAACAATTGCACGAGAGGTGGGCATATTCCCAAGATGAAGATTCAGGCGTTTTTTATCTGTGACTATTTTTTCACGTTCAACGTCGCTCTCCCAGAACAAGAGAGGGATAATAAATAAATAAATAATAAATAAAATGCAAGTAATGGATGCATATTTTTGTGATGACAAAAAATGGGCGTTAGAAGTAACAAAAACGCATAATAAACCGAGAACTTTGAGAGGTTCCACCCTGTATATGTTTAAGAAAATAAAAATAAATAGTTTAACTTTTCAATTCAAAATTGGTGAGAAACTAAGAAACCCACAAAAAAAAACTGTAATGAATGTGTGTATGCACAAAAATTTAATTATAATTTATTTTAGTTTTTTAAAAATTTATTTACTAATTTATTTAAGTTTTTTCAAGCCGTTATGGCTCTTTTAAACTTTTGACACCCTTAACCACCATGAAGATGTTTCCGGGTCGAAACCAAAACAGGACGTTTTTGCGATTCCCCATACCAGCCTATATGTATCCCAAATTTCGTCCTAATTGGTTCAGGAGTTTTTTAGTTATCGTCTAAATTCAAAACATTCTTTTTATAGAAAATCGGGACGCCAAAGATTTGTAGCATGATTAGAATCTCTATTTTATCTATAATCTTAACATGAAGAAAGTTAAAACTAACGACTTTAGCTAAGTTTCTGTATGCGGACTTTTTGATTTGGTAAAAAATCCGATATTTAAATGGCATACGCTGTATATTTAACATTTTTGGATTCCACAGACAATTTTACAGTTGATATGTTCTTTTCGATAATTTGCATGAGGATTGGCATAAAAATTAATTAACATACTGAGAAGTTCCACGCTGCAGGTAGGTATATACAACCTACGACGATGCACACATTTTTGAGAGCTGGCAACCAGGCAATTTTTAGAAGGGGAAAGCTGTCTGCGCCATCTGGAGAGCACCAACGAGGGTTACGTTTGGCATCTTACTTGTAATGGCGATCACGAAAGCGTCGATCCGTAAATGTTTGCTGTTATTGTGTTATTTAATGCAGGTAGTAATATTTGCATTTATTTATAATGTACTTGTGTTTCTTTATGCAGTATTTTATATTTTTTGGGAGTTTCAATCTTTGAAAAGATTTTGAAGTTCACTTGATTTAATCTTAATGCGGAGTCACGTGTTTGATACCGTTAATCTTTTGTTTAATATCGCGTTCATTTTTTGTGTAATGTTTGCTAAATTTTTGTTTATATTTCGATTACATGGTCTTGGCCCCAAATTAGGCTTATATATTGTGTGTACTGATTTGTTGTTTGTAAACTAACATTTTCGCCGTGAAGAGACGGTCACAGGGGTGGTAAAAAACCAAATGAGTTTCGACACTCAATGCTGGGACTACCCTTGACTCTCAATTGTAGACTGGGAAATCCTGAAATTCTTAGGTTTAGAATCTATGTTTGATATATGAGTGGCGATTCACTCATTTCCACATATTTAGTTGTAATATTAAATTTTCCCTACAAGACCATGGAATTTTCCATATTGCTCTTAACAGAAGGGTTTTATTCCACCAAAGATGAGTCACCTGTTGTACATCTACTTTCTTTTTTTACCTGGGGGTACACAATTTAATATTAGGTAATGTGTCGGATTTTTTCTTGGTAAGTTCTTTTTTCCCAGCGTATTTCTGCTTTTACTCTGTGAAGTACCATTTTCAAAGTTTATTTTTGCAATGCAATGTAATTCGATCTAAATTTACAAACTTTCACAATCTTCATAATATGAGCAATAATTATTAAACAAACTTTTCACAACTGAGAAGCTTCTGTTTACTGTATAACCAAATTGAATTGTGTTTAGTTTTAGTCTTAGCATCTATGTCTTAGTGATAAATAATAAAATTCGTGCTCGTGTGTGTAAATGTGTTTTTGATAAACATAAATGAATTGCTATACCTTAATTTTGCATTATAGTTCGTGTATCTGTATAATATTTATTTTTTGTGCTTCATTAAAGTTTGTTACAAAAAGTAAGCTGTTGTTCCACAGGTAAGCACTGCACTTTGCACAAAGAGAAGAAGATACATGGTCATATTTTGAATACCGCCCGATAAAAAGTTAAAGAATGACCTCAAATTTGGGAAATTTTGGGAGTTTGAGAACAATACTTTTTGTTGGATTACATTCTACCATTTATTGAATAAAATATAGTCAGTCATTATTGGTCAGAAGTGTTCCGCAGTGTCCAGTTCACAGTGTGCATAATTTTCATGCCTTTTATGGAATAAACCTGTAATCATAATATAACACAAATGCTACTCGTATAATGTACAAGCCGGTTATTATTGTAATAATCGAATCCTAAAGGTACCTCTCGGACACAGTGCTTATGCATGAAGTTAAAGGTTAAACTAAAAATTAACCATCTTTAAGGGTACAAGGCCTATAGTATACAATAATCTGTCTGCTTAAACTAACAAATTGGGCGATATGTGAGTGTGTGATCCGTTCCTTCTACATACGCGTACGGTTCGAAATCGACGCTTGCCGTCGTCATCTCCATGACGACCTAACGTGTTGTTTACTAGACAGTAGCAATTTCGAAGTGAAATGCAGGAAAGTTGGGGTTTCAGTTGGGGTTTCGTACTCTAATGGGCAACAATAAATGAATAAATCGTAAGTAGCCAACTTGAGTTACGAAATTTTCTGTCAGAGCTTAAATGTCTAACGCAATTATTGCTGTATATGCACCATTAGTAGAAATTGTGAATGGAAGCACGCACAATAATTTTTTAAACATAAAACAAACTATAAGGTTGTTCACCACCCCTACATCTGCTATTATATATTCATTACGCCTCGATTGTAATCGACAGGAAATTTATTTAGCGCTCTCACTTCCGATTACATACCAAGACCGATTCCGAACAAAGTTTCATAATTCGTGTTTGCATTGAATTGTATATACCTACATTCAGTTTCCAACGAATCGTTTCAAAGTTTAGGAACGCGTTCACAAAAATATGCTCTTATTATTTATAAATTATATGCATCAGGAGACTGGAGAGTATACGAATTGGATTTATTGTCAAAATCTTTCCAATTTGTTCGGATTCCTTATACAAAAAATTTAGATTTTTTATCTAAAATAAGTCGGAGATTTGGATATCCTGTCGAGCCACCGACAAGGTACCTATCCAAATTGTAGTTTCAAAATTGGGTGGATATTCTGTTGTTCTATTTGGACTTGGATAATTTGGCGCTGAAATTTGGAAATCTTAACGAAAGCAATCAAAAAAATGTGGAAGTTGGAATTTGGATGTCTTGACGGTCGCCTAAAAAACCATACATATTGGAATGCTATAGAGATAGAGCAGCTCTTACATACATTATGTTTGGTTAAAAGGGGATTAAATGTTATATTCGCATAGGCACTAAGTAATAAATGGTAACTTTTCATTGCACCTGAGTGTATTTATATAGGTACTTAATTCAGTGCGTATTTTTGTGCTCAGTATAAGTAATGATTATGATGGTTGAAAGTAATTCTCTAAATTTGGTCCATTGCCCAAGCCACTGATATACGTATATCTGTGCCCAAGGTGTGCATGATTGACTTCGGCCGTAATTAATAAAAATGAAAAAATGATTAAAGTCCTCGTGTGAGATCGAAGGGACTTCAGCGCATTTTTGTGTGGCAGGTCAGTATACTATTAGCCACTTATATTTAAAAATAGAAATCGTAAAGTAAGTTTATCAAATATATTTACCGTTTTTTTTCAAAAAAAGACGTACGACAATCGGCTTGTGGTACGTAGGAAAAATAACAATCGTTTGACTCCACCATCAGGAAGATCGTGTCGGGGGCACCACATTCCCTTTGACGGTAGCCACTTCCAACGTCCCGTTCACCCGCAATTCGCGTTTGAAGATTTGACTCCACCATCAGGGGGATCGTGTCGCGGGCTACCACATTCCCTTTGTTGGTACCTACTTCCGACGCCTCGTTCACCCCAAATTCGCGTTTGAAGATTTCAATCCACGATCAGTTAGATCTTGTCGGAGGCCACCATATTTCCTTTTTCGGTGCATACCTACTTATATTACACCCACATTTTGGTGGATTTCGCTAATAACATTCCACAAGATAGTACTTAATTTTTGGGGAACTTCTCGTTGCTCGAGCTTCTATTGGCGACACGAGAAAGAGAGACAGCAATTCGGGATTTACGAAACGTTAAACCGCGTGATAAAATTCGCAACGGAAGGTAAGAGGCACCCGAAGTTGCCTCCCTCCCTAAGACGCGCGCGCGCCTTGCAGGAGTGGTGTGCGTTTACAACATCTTTCCGACGACACCAATTTGAAGAGAATCGGACCAAAACTGTAGTGGAAGATAGGAAAATACTGAAAAACCTTCACGTTAGTAAACTACGCTCGAGGATGACGCCCAGATGTCGCCAACCCCACATCATGTAGCCCTGTCCCCAAGGTTGACAAATCACACGGCCTTGTAGATACACGTACACCCGTTGCCTTTCTATAAGAGTTCTTCTACGCGCCCACATTTACTGCCAGCCAGCCAAAGTGAGATTAAAAGCTACTTTTTACAAATAAATTTGTAAGCGCATTTTCCATGAATTTATCAGTATCTACTTCCCGATAGATCATGTAACCATCTACTTATTTGTACACCTGATCTTTAAAATATGCTCTTCTATTTAAAACAATTTCCCTTTTTTTTCATCTTCCGGTTACATTTCCTTAAAAATTATAAAGTGACGTTCTTCAATAATCTGCACCTGTGTTTATACTTTCATTCAGCGATACCACGGGCTTATGTTCCAAATTAATTAGATTATGCAGCGATACCGAATTTTCTTATCGCTACGACTGGATTTACAAGAGATAACTTTCACAAAACGTCCACCCAATTAATTCCAGATGGTTATATTTAGTCTTTCAACACACAATAAAATTGAACAAATAAACAAAATACAAGGTGGCCATTTAAACAAAATTAACAACTAATAATTTTACCTCGAATTCAACTATTATGATCGAATCTTGTGTCCAATCTCAAATTACAACCAATTTTTTTTATTTAAAAATAATCGAAATGCTCATACAGGGTGTCCCATTTTTTCTCCTTCATTTAATTATTCGAGTTATCTTATCGCAAGCGTAAAAATGTCTTGGTGGTGGCTTTGAACTTAGTTTATGTTGATTTCTCGCAAATTAAGACCCTTTATTTCTTTAAAACATGACGTAAGCAACCCTAAATCACATCACAAAAGATTACCTAACGCAAACCGCACCTTAATTATTCATTTCAATTTCACATCAATCAAACAATTTTTTGCCATGATTATCAATTATCATTAACGTAAAAATTTAACGAAGTAGCTCTAACAAGGAGCAGGTACTTGCGTGTATGCTTTGCATTGCATGTAATGAATATTTTATATTACCGAATGAATAGATCAATCTACTTATCTATTTGTGTTTGTAGAATTCGACTGCAATATGTGTCATATTGTTACATAAAAGTCCTTAACAGCGGAGGCTGATGGGCACTTTGATAAGCATTGGAGACAAAATTGAGCCTAAAGACGTAAGTATTTAAAGGGTAGGTAGTTAGTGAGTATTTACCATCCTGTATTGCATTATCTTATTTACTTTTTTACTTTTATTACCTTTAATAATTTCAGAAAGTCACGTTTCGGTATAGATGGCGATGCTCGCTTTACCAATTACCGGGTACCGACTTCACAATATACCTACACTGTGTAATGTTCTACTTATTTCTTATCACATCGTACAAGGTGTTGTGCTCTTATCGTTTTTGAGTTATTCAAATTTTCAGGAAAGAACTCTCACCTCACATCCATACCCGAGTTGTAAAATTGGAACTGTTCTTTGGCATAGACCTTGATTAATTGTCTGGCATTTTTTTGAACAATTATTCAAATTTCAAATATAAGGTTCACGGCTTCACGTTAGGTATGTACCATATAGTGCTACGGTACACCCTTTATGAATATAGGTGAACCCACGTTCTTAAAATCTGACCTACAGTACAGTCAACAGGTCAACTGTCAGTTGCCAAGTGTACAAAATTTGATTGACGCCGGTGTAGGAATTTGGAAAAGCTGTGTCATCATTCAGATAGGCTGAGGACAGACAGCCAGAATGGAGAGAAGGACCGACAGACTAAGTTGATCATCCCAGAAATCAAATTCTCTCTTTGCAGACTCAATTGATCTCCCTGTATATAAACTTACCTTGGTTGTTCTGCTCTGTCTGTCCGTTAATTTGTTTTACTTCGACTAGGTGAAATCATCTTGAATAAAAAAGTGAAACTGCATTTAAAGTTGTGCTTATTATTGTGTTCTAAATACATCAAGTAGGGAATGTCTTGCCCGTCTGTTCGTCCGCTCGCCTGCCAGTATATGTGCGACATCGATTTTAATTCGAATATTCCTCGTGACACTAATATGGTATGAGAAACACTTCGTTTTATTTTATTTTATTTTATTTTATTTTATTTTATTTTATTTTATTTTATTTTATTTTATTTTATTTTATTTTATTTTATTTTATTTTATTTTGTATTTTAGCAATCATATTTTTTCAAAGAACAGTCAGTCCGTCCACTGGATCACCAGACCCAAACGATGCACCTCCCTTTCAAGATCAGTTATTGTGCTCGTGCAGTAATTTAAAATGAATTTTTTCTGTCCTAGGTCGATACTACTAACGAGGCTAAAGAAGGAGCAGATTTCGGTTTAAACGGAAAAAGACATACTACTGACATACTTTTCCTTTTGGTTCACGGTTCTATTCTTTTGTTTTTGGTAAGTTGATGGTAAGGGAAACTAAAAGGTTTTGCTAAAGCTCAAATGATTTCTTGATGCAATTCGTCCATTCACCATTTGGACGTATGACGCGAAACTTATATAAGTAAGTTTCCGAAACGAAACGAAATTAAGAATTCAAAATAAAACCAAATCACTCACGTTCTATCCTTGCCATCCTACGAGTAACTTTTTATGTGTGGCGTTTACTGTCGCCCCATTATATTTAATTTCCTCATCATCTCTGTTTTCTTCACACTATTTCTTTGCTCTCCTAAATTTCATTTCATTGCGATTTTCTTTGTTTCTTCTTCACTTGTTTTTTCCTGTACAACAAACGCTTTTGCTTTCCACTTTACATCATTTTATACCATCACACGTTTAAACATATTCCATTCTTAACCATAACTAACCTGTCCTTTATCTTTTTTATTAATTTTTTCTTCGATCTTATCCTCATTTTTATGTTTTTCTTGCTTCATTTTCATTTTTTTAAATAATTTATCGAATCTACTTTCGTTACTTATTCTATAGCACCGATTATACACTTTTTTCGTCTATTTTTTAATTTCCGAATTCATTATTATAGCGTTAGTTTTTCCATTTGCTCGTTCAAGTACTTCTTTCTCTATTTCAATAAGCTCATTTTTCTCTCACCATTATATAATTATAATAAAGATTGTATGATTGATGATTTAAACTGTGAAGCTGTAAAACGCGATTTCTCGGTAACTAATCGACCGATTAAAAACAATAAAAACAAACCCCTTTAAAACCATATCATTTGACCTCTTGTCTTAATTAAAAATGTGTGGGGGTTGCAACTTCCAAAACACGATTACAGTTGCCAGATGTATTGTCGCATAAAATTCGGAACTGGATCAATTTCGCGTGCGAGTACGGGTTGTTCTGCCCTATTGGTTCCAAAAACAGTTCAATGAAAATTGTAACCTTCATAAATGGATGCGGTTCGGTGCTTTTCTTAAAGTCTCATGCGATGGAAAAACATTACGTAATCCGTCGGAAGACGGAAAACGGCATTGAAAATATGTCATCTACGTATAACAGTAAAAGGTGGTGCCCGTTTAAGTTATGCTATTATGTTATGCTATTTTGAATCCACACTCCGATCCAGAAGAGATTAACTTCGGGATAACCTAAAACTTTCGCTGTAATTTTTGGCACTAACTATGCACGAAAGTCTCTTCACAGTCCAAAATCTACTTCTTGTCCGATGATTAAATAAACCTTTTACTGTATGACACAAATACTCTGACCACCCTTTTTGCGAAATCTGCCCCCTCCCCCCCTCTTGCCCCCCCGGCTTAACCGAATTTTGTATTTTTTATCTTCAACGCCACCTTTTTTGGGGTTTCGAATTTAATCCTTTGGCTGATTGAACTAAATTTCTTTTCACCCCGGTTCAATTTGGCAACAAAGTCACGAGCGATAGACTCAGACCTTTTTTCTGAAACAACTCGCGTTGTCGTGGCTTATAGCGTTTCTTCAGTCTCCACTACATGAGTTTCTCCCAAAACTATGCTAATTGCACATCCGATTCTGTTCTACCAATGAAATGAATTGCCATACGATATCTCAGAAAACCTTCGGACCTAATGGAAATTTTCGACAGAAATCGCATATAACCCTCGCGCTCGATAACGGCGAATCTGATTCATCTGGATCGTCACGTATTTCTCATTAATTTCGCCTTATCTCGCGACTTTCTGTCACCGCTAACTTTCGTACGCATTTGACTCGACATGGCCATACTCGGAAATTATTGCCCAAATGCAAAATCAAAAAAATTTAAAAATGTTTAAACTAAATCAATATTGCTCTAGCGAGTTCAGATTACAACGGGCTTAAAGATACATGTTTCAATCAATGTTGTAATTTAATGCCTCAATGTCAACCAAATACATGAAGTGCTAAATTTCGAACGTAAATCTCAATCCCTTGTCTTTGAAACAGTGTACCAAACCCTTGCCATGCCATGACTTCAACAGAAGAGGTCGGGGTCTTTGTGTTTTACATGTTTTAATCAATGAATGAACTAATGGAAAGTTTTTAATGCTCCTGTATTTAGGCCTAAAGCGGTATTCTTTTTTTTGTATTTTCACCAGTTACATTGGAGAAAGACTTGACTGTTTTATTTATTGTAAACGCTGCCTATAGTTAAGAATCTTGTGTCATGCACTAAGTGCTGAAAGCGTTATTTTGATCAAAAGTTTCAATTGAGCATTTTAGTGATGACGATTTTTATACACCGATTACCTAATCAATTAGAAATGGCGAAAAAATTCGTGTTGTAGATTCCGCTGCTGTTATATTGTGTCTATCACGGGGACGTCTATCGGATCATTAATGGCTATGACAGCTGTTTAAATGTTTGTGGAAAAGACAATGTGTACCCGAACGGAACCGAGACGACCTGCGATGGAAAAAATATGTCTTCTCGCCCGTAAGCATCTTCATCTTGGGCCTCCTCGTTATAAATTCTAACTAAATATTTGTTTAGGTACATTTTGGTATTCCGCCCCGATGGAAAACACTCGTTCCGATCTCTGGAGCAAAGTGGAGACAACGCGGGAGCAGGTGGGTGTTCAATTGTGCCATCTTACCCCTAATTTTCTGCACGTCGGATTTTCAGTACCTTCAGTTTTGAATACTACAATACAACGGGCGTGCCTGAAGAACTGCAGTATATACCCACATTTGTAAGTGTCCTTTGCAGTAGGGGGGAATTATTAATAAACGACTTTCACAAAGATTAAATCGCCATAATGTAATCGATAGAAATAAAGTGTTTAATTTATGTGCGTGATGTAGGTTCTATCATGTGAGTTATTTCCGTGCTTGGTTAATGTCATGAAATCTATATATTCAGTCCTAATCAACAAATCCATCCAATTACGCGATCTATTTCAAGCTAAAAATTCTGTTTGAATTTTAGCCGACCGTTAGTGGGAAGATGCGTATTGGAGAGGGGAAAGTTTTCAACCGAAACGTTTCTAGGTAAAACTGGATTAAATGACTTTTTTGGGGTAACCTCTTGCTCTCGTTACTTTCACAGTAAATAATCGCTCTATTTTTAGGAAGTGAGTGAAGATTTTGAAAGATGCTGGCCCGAGATTCTGTATCTGTGCATAATATCTTTAGGTACAGTATCGACCTTCGGGTAACCAAACTGTAGCACAGGCAACTGCCCGCCTCCCCTGACTTTTAAAGTTCGATTTCTAAATGTGGGGATGATGAAACGTAGTATTCGCTTTACCAAAACAAATTCGACTTAATTTGACACACTACAAAAGAAAACATTTGCGATGCCTGAATCTGCTGTTGGTGTTGCTCTATTTATAACAGTTGACTTGTTTGGATTTAAATATTTAATTATTATTTTATAGTTATAGCAGGACACATTTTTTGAAAGAAAATATAAAAGTAAGAGCTCATGATCATATAACTGGAAAATATAGGAGGGGAGCATGTAATAAATGCAATTTAATGTTAAAATTACCCATTTCTATTTCACCATTTAAAATATGATTCCAAGCTCATCTTACAGTGGTAATTTTTTCATTATTTGATCCAGGGCCTGACAACAAATACCACGCACATGCTATCGAGTGAAACAAATTAAATTTAAAAAATCTAATTACCACAAAGAGTTAATTATCCTAACACCCGGGTCATAACTGCGATTTTCTGAAACTGGCGCACAAAGCACAGACACCAACGGATGATACTTCGGAATCTTCATTTTTTTTCTTTCTCTTGATTCTTGATTTAAACGAAACTGGCTTTGATGTAATTACATATGTAAAAGTGATTTTTTGGAGGTGGACAGGTTCACTTTAACGGGAACTTTGAAAATCGTATAGGTGAGAAAACACTTGAGCTTAACTGGAACTCAACAATTTACTTTTATAACGACGAACTAAAATCTCTTAGAACAACATCTAACCTTACTTCTAAAAACTGTACAACCACTAAGGCTTGCTGTCTCTCACAGGAAAATTACCAAAAATCTTCCCCAAAAAGCCCCGTTTAACGTTTCATTCTTCCATTCTACACTTTCGATGCTACTTTTTAATAAAAAACACTGCGGGTCGTCGATAAACTAACTTGCTTATCTCCAAATTGATGAACTGTCACGGAGCGATAACGAACTCCTTATCGCAAGACCGGATTTAGATGGGATAAACTAAAAAAAAACACAACGCAATTACTTCCAGATGTCCCTAATTTTTTTACACTAAATTAAAACAAAATACAAGGCGATTATTTAAACAAAATTAAACATCTAATAATCCAATGCGAATCAACCTTGACTTCAAATTCAAATGACATGATCGAACCTGGAACCATTCTGAAGGAATATTAAATAAAATGTTAATTACATTAATTTAAACTTACAAAACGGACTCGATTGATATTAAGAGGAAATTCTTATGAGCGAATTGCCAAACAGAGTCTAACTGCTCTACCAGTAAAATTACACCGGGTTTGTTTTGCGAAATTCAAATTAACTTTTAACCTATTTGAGTACAGCGGGAGTGCAGTTGGTTGCCTGTGAGAGAGACTTTCTTTGATTAATGAAACTTTTCGTTATTCCACCTTTTAGCTTTTTCAATCGTTATCATGGTCCTATTCCGTTTACTCGTAGGAGTTGTTATATGGATTGTTTTGGTTGGGATTGCCTTAGCCAGCACGTTGGGAACTGCGTATCTTTGGCAAGTAAATTTGTTTATAAATGCATCAAAAGCTAGTGTTTATTTGGCCACAGGATTCTTTGGCACCAATCTAGAGCTAGCTCAAGTACCGAAGAAGCAATAGTGGGGTCCATAAAGGTACAAAAGACCGATACTTACCTGACGTTGGCGATAATAGCTTCCATCCTGACCCTTTGCTTATTATTAATAATCTTAGTACTGAGAAAACGCCTTAAACTAGTTATACAGTTATTCAAAGAAGCAGGAAAAGCCATCGGTTCAATGCCACTTTTGCTGGTGCAACCTTTATGGGTAAGTGAAACTGATTCGGCCCCAATCACATTAACGATGAGTTTCAATTTTCAGACATTCGCATGTATTGCCGCTACAATATCGTGCTGGTTATATTTTACTTTGTGGATCGAAAGTGCAGGTCACAAGAAGAAGGTTCGAGATGATTTTTACATCTTTGAAAAAGATACTACAATCGTTTTCACCCGGTGGTACAATATCTTTGTGACATTATGGTTGATCCAGTTCATTATTGGATGCCAACATATGGTTATTGCTGGCGCCGTGTCTTCATGGTATTTTACAAGGTATGCTATGATTCCAAAGAAACTTTGAACTTTCAGACCTGTTCACGCGTACATTTCAACGCTTGGCACACCGCTCTCATATTCTTCGCATGCTCTTCAGTTCTATTTCCTGCTTCCTTCACCACTCTGGCATGCTTCCTTTCATTAATTGCGCACATCTCCTTTAGATCTTATTTCCTGGCTCTTGGTGCTTTTTTTACATAATAATTTACTCAATCAATTTCTGGTTGTCTTGACGTCTTTGTGACGCTTCATTCTCGACTCCTTTACACTTCTTTAACCAACGAAAATTGAAACATTCGTTGAAGTGGCGTGAAACAAGGTCCTTCACGATACTCACTCACGGCTGGTTGCTTCACGCCTCTTGTCCATCTCAAAGGCCTCTGTAAAAGAACTAAGAAGCAGGACCTTCTTTCATTACAGCTTTCTTCAAACCTCCTTAATGCATTCATCACGACTCTTTTAAGCGTTTCCTTCACACCTCTTTTGCACCTTCTGCAAGCTCTGTAATGGAGTCCCATATCGGGCACTGCGAATTTATTTTATTCTATGCTACCCTTGGTACGTTTGGGAAAAAGTTACAAATAGCGACACCTAACCTACTTATCAAAATGATAAACGTTTCGTACATCTCGGACAACTGCTAATTTACCTGGACGCATATTTGTAAACGGCAGACGCGTCCGCATGCAGGCGAAAATTGATCCTTTCCCATAAGAATTTCTGACTGCGATCTCAGTTCAATCACGATTGAATGTGTGTCATAATGTCCTAGTGACAAGGACACTCGGCTTGCAACCGGCCGGCTCGGGTTCGATTCATTGTACGGAAAATTTTTTTTTCACAAAAATGTGTATCTTAATTGGCCGGAGTTGGACGTTAGGTTATTTGTAAGTTTAAGCTTCCGAATGGATTACGCGCCTGCTGTTTACGAATATGTAATAATAATTTAAATAATAACTCAAATTGTGAAGACTGGTTTATTTGTTGCGTGGTACACTGGTACTACATTACATGTATACATGTCAGGTTGCCTATACTACAATTAACAGTGAGACCTCTAGTGGCAGCACATTGTAATGAATATTGGTGGGATTTTTATTCTATTTACAATGCCCAAAAGCAATCAATATTGTAGTTTGTCGGCTGTAAAAGTAAATAAACTTAAAATTTCATTTGCAATCGATGTAATTACACCTTAAATAGCAAGAATATTTTAAATCGTCACATTTTATCACAGTACTTTTGAGAATTTTAAATATGATCGCTAATTAGTGCTGATTTTTTCCATAAAACTATTTTTTTTTGTTTACCTATATTTCTTTCCAGAGCGAAGACTCGTCTGAATTCTCCAATCCTATTTGGACTGTACAATCTGCTGCGCTACCATTTGGGCTCGGTCTCCTTCGGCTCGTTCATAATCGCCGTCGTCCAACTGGCGCGCGTCATCCTAATGACACTGAATACCTACGTGCGCGCGCATGAGGGCCGATGCGTCAGTTGTATAACAAGCTGCTGTCAGTGTTGCCTTTATTGCCTCGAAAACATTTTGAAGTTCATAACTCGCAACGCATACATCGAAATAAGTAATAACCTCAGGAAGAACAGTAGATCACGACTAACCTTCTGCTTTTAGCAATTCACGGATATAACTTTTGTAGAGCTGGAAGACGGGCCTTCGAGGTTTTAGCGTCGAACGCTTTAAGGGTTGCAACAATTAACTCTGTGGGAGACTTTGTTCTGTTCCTTGGAAAGGTGTTGATCGTCGTTTCGGTGGTCCTCATAGGCATCGAATTGATTCAAGTAAGTTGAAAAGCGACAAAACATTTGCAATCCTTTCCATTTACAGAAGAAAGAAGGTATACTTCATGCGTGGGTACCGCTAACACTCTCAGGATTATTTGCCTACTTTATTTCACATTGTTTTCTCTCTGTGTACGAGGTATGTATCGTACTTTGAAATACTAATTTACCTCTGTCTTACGTTTAGATGGCGATCGATACAATTTTTATTTGCTTCTGTGAAGATTGTGACGCGAACGATGGACTTTCTAGGCCATACTATATGTCCAAGGATCTTATGGAGTTTGTTGAGAGCTCAAACGAATCAGTATTAAAGTCGAAACCGGAAGCTTGGTCTACTAAAGCTTCTGCAGTATCCTAAATTCTACCGCCATTGTGATAGTTGTAGCATGAAATGGGACCAATCACAATTTTTAATAAAAATTTTGTAATGCGTAATTGGTATGGTTTAATTCAAATTGCTGCTTTTTTAACACGGTGGGGAACTCCCTCATCATTTTATTAAATTTTGACTGATTACTAGATTTTTGCCCAAACTGTAGATATCCACGGCTAGCTCAACTTTACAAAAATACTTTGGTACAATTTCCTTAGTAAATGGACTTATTTATTTACAACCTGAAAGTTTACAGAGTGATCTCTTGCGCCTTCAACCACTTTCATAATAATTCAATAAACAAAATAAAACTATTGACATATTCAAATTTAGATAAATCGATCATTTTCGTACGTGGCCACGTTCGATTTTCCTATGTTAAACGACCGTTTTAAATGAACAATGGAAAAATACGAAATACGTGCTTTTTTACACACAAATTGAAAACTTAAGATTTATATATTTAACTCAGCTAGAAGATCGAGTTTTTCAAAAATGTCCCTATTTACGGTTTAAACTTGCCACTTCCACTCATTAAGTTTCTTGAAGAACGTGGTGCGTATTGAATACAAATATAAACATTTACGCTTTACTTTATTTATACATTGTCTAAAACTAGCCCTGGAGTAGTCCAACTTTGGAAAACTAGATCACTCTCTATTTAGGGTTCGGGGAATGAGACCAAGATTTGCTGACGTTAAATCCTGAGTCCTGACTCGTATCGGGGAGGATTTACTGTTTGAACAATCCCAAGGTCCTCGATCTTGCGTAATCCAAATGGCCGCGTCAATTCGGAACGCAAAGTTGTGTACAGTAGATGAATAACGATGTCGTCGTTTAATGAACCACTTTTTACTGTAGAGATTGGAGTTTTAATTTCTTGCGTCGGATTTTCCGCAATATCGCATTTATAAAATCTCACGGACTAGCACTGACTTTAATATACAATAAATTTATTTTATGTTAGGTACTTTACGCTTTTTATTATTATTGTGAATTCAAGAAATCTTGAATCAAAATTGGTACAGGTTCCACGCGCGAGTCTTCCCAATCTTTTTTCTCCGGTTCATCGATTTAATTCACTTGATTTGATTCAAATTCACGTGTGTAATAAGTTCCATCGGCCATCCGCTCGTTCGTTGAGACGCTACTAGTTCTTTATCTTAAGAGCTATTGTTCTACTTTTTTCGCTATTTGGTTCGTTATGGTGTCGACGCTTGCACCAAGGAAGGAATTTTTTCTGCGTTTATTGCTAAAAAAGTGTTTTTTACATGTTCCATAATTTTACACTTTTGCCGTTTATTAACGATCCTAGAGATCGTTTATAATTTTGTATTGCTGCCTGTCGTCTGTCGGTTGGTCTGTCCGTCTGTTCCTTTGTCTGTCTGTCTCTCTATCTGTCCGTGTGAACGATATCTAACCTTGTTTAGAAATGTCCGATCGCTTTTACATCTCCGTATTAGTTATTAGGTAACTGAATTGCATGGAATTCAATATGGGCATAGCTTTAGCCATATAATACGCAATGCCAAAAGTTGAGTCCAATCGATTCAACATTCACAGTGCCCTTTTCGCATCTCGACCATTTATAAACCGAATTGCAAACTTTTTTATTTATAAAAGTAGGTATTTGAATGAAATTTGATACATAGGCACTTGGATTAAATGAAAATCTAACGCCAATTTCAAAATTTGGTTATGCGTATGCACAGTGCCAACTTTTTTATTTATGGAAGAATTTAAACGAAATTTGATACATAGGTGCTTTGAATAAAGGAAAATCTAACGTTAGTTTCAAAATTTAGATTGCGCATGCGCAGTTCCAACTTTCTTATTTAGAAAAGCATTGAAATGAAATTCTTCTTATAAACAGAAAATGAAGTAGCACGTCAAAAATGGATTGCTCATGTGCAACGCTATCTTTCATATTTGTGGCCGGATTATCTTACAAATGGGAAATAAATACAAGTGGAAATGCGCTTTTTGTAAATCGTTTACGATTACTTTTTAACTTGTTTTGAGATATGCACACTTTTTTGACCTCCATCGCCTAATTATTTGGTAAACCTAGAATACAAAATGTTATGTTGGGTACTTTTTGCTGCTATATTCTTCATCTTTGTTCCACGTTCTATACTCCTTGGCTATTGCTCATTGAGGCATGTTCTTTGCTTTTTGCCCATGATACACGTTGTTTTCTGTGCTTGACTCTTATCCCTATAGCACTTTCGATTCTAAGTTTCCCGTTTCGTCTTTTGTTTTCATTTGTTGCTTGTTTCTTTTAATTATTGTGCATTTTTTCGGAAACACAAAGGAACAGAGGTCAGGTATCAAAAATACAACCACAACGTAATCGGCGCACGATTAGACAACGGACAAACTACCCTCAAATCAATTAAGAAGTACTTTCGTACTTACTGGATTACTTTTCAACACGTAGATCGCAGTACCAAGTGAAAAAATGATTGTGTAGCAGATAAATATAAATAGCGATCAAAAATGAGTGATGGTCGAGTCGCCTTTGGAAGTTCAAGTCTTCAAGTCAAGTTAAGTACGATTTCCAATGTAAACAAAAATTCCAAAGGTGAATCGATAGCAAATCATTTTTGATCGCATAGTACCTATGTTCGTGCAATTGAGAATCCAAAAAATTCATTATTTTATTGATATAATAAATATTTACTACCGTCCTCTCTTTAGGTTTGTTTTGTAAATACTTAAAGTTTAAGGTACCTAAGTATACTGTAGTATTACTATCTGCTACCTACATAAACGCTAAAATCTCATTTTCGGAAGACCGCCCTTGGCTTCGACCCTTTGCCGTTTTCAAGGAAAGATGAGTCATTGAAACACTTTTTAAAGGGAGATTACATATTTCTATTTTGTTGTCATCAGTAACTTGCCATTTTTGCGACGGTTGGGTGTTGTTTGTGCAAAAACACGTAAGTATAATTTATTTCAATCTAATTTATCAGTTTAGGACTGAATTTTTTCGTGCAACAACCCTCATTGTTAATATTCTTTACGTTCATGTAATATAAGTTTGGTTGAACTTGGAAAATTGATCAATTTGAGTGGATAATAATTACTGAATTTTGTTAGTTCATTATTATTATGACTTCAGCCATTGTTTATTAAATTAATATTAGCCGCACATAGGTACATATAAGCAGGAAACATTTTAAAAAGGGATTACTTATAAGCAGAAAAAATTTATTAAAATTGCTTATTTAAAGGATTTGCCTAAGTAACCTATTTATTACAGATACACGTGCAGTGATTGACAAAAGTAATGATCGCCGAATAGGTAGGTAAATCCTGCACCATACGCAATCAACATTTGAATATATTGTGTAACTTAGAAATGCGAACTAACAAATTAAGCTATCCCCTCCTTGAAGAAATCATCGGAGCCCGGTGTGATAGGCATGTTGGTGGCTTATGATACAGAGTTTACCTATTAGGCGATCATTACTTTTGTTAATGACCGTACATATACATACATTTATTGCTACTCCTAACATCTTTTATAGCAACTTTAGTACCTACGTACCTAAGTAGTAGGTAAATAGTATTTGCTGTAGTTTTATAGGTATCTGTAGATTTAATTTTTAAACAAACTTTAACGAATTTATTTGTATATTTATTTATTTAAACAATATTTAACAAGACACTTTGGTATAAACCATTAAAAATGTCATTTATCTATCCAGTCCGCGCGTAAACGTAATTAGTCGCATGACATACATTAAAAATCTACGCTATATAATGCAAAAAGATACAGGTCCTTAAAGAAATTCTCCGAAATATTGAATTTTCCCTTTGTAGGTACCTAATTCTTCCAACAGTTTTGAGATATTCATAATTAAGTTTTTACATCGTCGGTAGATCTGTCTCGTCTAGACGTTCTTTCTGTACCTTGAGGGTACACTCCTCTCCGACACTCCGTTCTGCGGATATTTGCACTGGAAGTTTTAATACCACCAACCGATCGATATTTATATCTTGTCCTGACGTTCCACTTGCCTCTTCCGACACTTTGTTTTCAAGATATCCGTTAAAGTTATAGTTTGTACAAACCAATTCATTTCGGTGCGAGACCTTTCATTAGAATACCATGAAGCGTAGAAGGTGTGTTTGCCCCCCAACCACTCTCCATTTTCAAAAATTTTACTTGGCACCACTAATGGCATGTGTATGCAAAATCTGAGACCGCAATGGTTGTCGCATGAAAAAGTTATGCAAGTTTTATTTTTAAAAAACACACTTGAAATCTGGAGAAGGAGAATATCTGCGACGGGCAAAGACAGCAATCAATTTCTCATTATTGTACCTTGTTTCCTATGCACACTGGACTCCCGCACATCAGTACAAATTTGCTTAAGTAATTTCTACGTTTAATAGGTAGCATCAACTCAATGCATCTGGACCCTCGACTACAATGACTGCTCATAGTGTTATATGTTTGAATTTTTTGTTTGTTTTTGTTTTAGGTGCAGTCAATTAATTTGTATCTAAGCGCTGTATGTATGTGTAAATTGCATTGTGTGATTCATGTAATTAGGTCCTTGAGCTGTTTGGATTACCTACATTACAAGCCAGTTGTAATTTTAATATCGTTTGCTAAAGACTATCCCTAGGACTATCCTACCTAATAAATTCGCCATTCTTCTTCAGTTTGAATTTAGTAGGTACCTTAGTTTGTGTTTGTCAAAGCGCTTAATTTAGAGGGTTTCGGATCCATTTCTCAGTTTTAATAAGTATATGCCGCAATAGAAAACTATTTCGCCAGTTCAATTTAATCAGTGTAAGTAAAGCATAACTCGTCATGACGTCACCCATTCCTTACAAAACAAACTTATTAATAAGTATAATAATATATTATGTGGAAGGGACGAAATTCCGATCCTAGAGCAATAGACGCGCATTTTATTTCGGTGCGGTGGAACGCGTGCGCAAAGTATGGACGTATGGTGGTATAATAACGGGCGTCAAAAATGACTGAATGAGTTGCTGTCGAGTCGCCTTTGGAAGTTCAAGTTAAATATGAGTTCCCATCTAAACAAAAATTCCAAAGGTGACTCGACAGCAACTCATTTTTGTTTGATCGCATAGTATACATTGTGTAGGTACAATAAGATAAGTATTGGGCATTCCAGTAAGGGTAAGAGATACAAAATTGGTTAAATGGGGAACAAGTTGAGCAATCAAAGGTCTAAAAAGGGTTTAGAAATCCCGATTTTACCTTTTACAAACTATTACCGTTGGCGCACCCTCTGCTTACGTTGGGATTGGCAGAACTGATATTAGTTTATTTGAAAAAGTAGAGATGGGGCACATGCGTTTTTTTAGGAACGGTTCCAAAATTTCTGATTTTCAACTACTAACTCTTTTTCCACTGTTTTTGGCTACTACTTGCTACTAATCGACGCAAAAACTAGTATGGTCATAGAATTTACTCTACATATGGTATAGTGAAATGCCAATTTGGAGTAAGTGGTCTAAGCCGCCTAAGTTAGATTGAAAAATAAGATTGATTGAAAGAAAACTTACATCTTTCCAAAGAGAATGTATTATTATCATTGATCTATCTATTTTATCGTTAATAATAATCAACATTGGCAAAATTAATTATTTTGTGTTTAGTATCATCTCAAGATCGATGTCGAAGTGATAAATAATAACATTCGCGCCTGAGTTCTTTTAAATCTAAGAAACGTTATAAATCTGGTTTCTCGTTAATAGTGTGAGTGGTTCCACCCTGTATATACAACTTACGACGATACATACGTTTTGGAGAGTTGGCAACCATGCAATTTCTAGGTGGGAAAAAAGCTGCCTGCGCCACCTAGATAGAGAGCACGAACGGGAGTTACGTTTGGCATCTTGTCTTGAATGGCGGTCGCGAACGTTTCGCTCCATAAATGTTTGTTGTTATTTTGTGTTATTTAATGCAGGTAGTAATTTTTGCATTTCTTTATATCGTATTTGTGTTTTGTTTGCCGCATTTTATATTTTTTGTGTGTTTCAATATTGTTTTTGAAATTTACTTGGTTTAACCGCAATGCAATCATATGTGTGATACCGTTATGCTATTGTTTGTAATTGTTTACGTTTTTGGTGTAATGTTTGCTTAATTTATGTTTATTGATGTTGATTACTTGGTCTTGTCCCTGAAGTTACATTCATGTAAGTTTTCATTTTATTTTAATATGTTGAAATTGCTGATTCGTTTGATGTATGTACTGACTTGTTGTTTGTTACTAACAATTTTCTCCGTGAATGAAGCAGTCACGGGAGGTGGAAAAAGAAACTGTAGTCTATAATTATGTGTTAGGGCACCTAATTCCGTGCACTGTCTTCGACATCCAACTGTAGGTTCGAAACCCCGAAACCAGGGGCGGACTACCCATCTTGCAGGAGCGAGATTACGCTAATCAAAGCTCTTCAGTTTAGAATCTATGTGCGTTAAATGAGTGGCGATTCAATAATTTCCACATATTTTGTTTTTAGTCAAATTTGCCTACAAGGCCATGTAATTTTCCATCTTGCTTTCAACAAAAGGACTTTATTGCACCAAAGATGAGTCACATCCTGTGTATTTCACCCTTTCTCAGAATCTTGGTACCTGCTCCTACCTGACCCATTGTCCCCAAAAACTTGCTTTAACCAATTCTGAGAAAGGGTGAAATACACAGGATGTGACTCATCTTTGGTGCAATAAAGTTCTTTTGTTGTAAGCAAGATGGAAAATTACATGGCCTTGTAGGCAAATTTGACTAAAAACAAAATATGTGGAAATTATTGAATCGCCACTCATTTAACGCACATAGATTCTAAACTGAAGAGCTTTGATTAGCGTAATCTCGCTCCTGCAAGATGGGTAGTCCGCCCCTGGTTTCGGGGTTTCGAACCTACAGTTGGATGTCGAAGACAGTGCACGGAATTAGGTGCCCTAACACATAATTATAGACTACAGTTTCTTTTTCCACCTCCCGTGACTGCTTCATTCACGGAGAAAATTGTTAGTAACAAACAACAAGTCAGTACATACATCAAACGAATCAGCAATTTCCACATATTAAAATAAAATGAAAACTTACATGAATGTAACTTCAGGGACAAGACCAAGTAATCAACATCAATAAACATAAATTAAGCAAACATTACACCAAAAACGTAAACAATTACAAACAATAGCATAACGGTATCACACATATGATTGCATTGCGGTTAAACCAAGTAAATTTCAAAAACAAATATTGAAACACACAAAAAATATAAAATGCGGCAAACAAAACACAAATACGATATAAAGAAATGCAAAAAATTACTACCTGCATTAAATAACACAAAATAACAACAAACATTTATGGAGCGAAACGTTCGCGACCGCCATTCAAGACAAGATGCCAAACGTAACTCCCGTTCGTGCTCTCTAGGTGGCGCATGCAACTTTTTTCCCACCTAGAAATTGCATGGTTGCCAACTCTCCAAAATGTATGTATCGTCGTAAGTTGTATATACAGGGTGGAACCTCTCAAGTGTTAGTTGCTATGACTATGAGTACTAATAATAAAAATTGGTATAAATCTAATTGCAATTATAATAACAATTGCAATGGAGACCCATCGATTGCAAGCTTTTACATTTATGAATCTTCAAGAGTATTAAAGAGCCTTCAACGCTTTTAAGAATCTCCAAGTGTCTTCAACAAATGAATCATGAGCGGTTGGGTAAACCGTGGTGGTTTCATTACGTTAGAAGAGAGTAAAGAGCTAAGTATAAATAAAAATAATTAAAAAACTTTTCTACTAAGCTCGGACGTCGGATTTAATTAGATATGTTTGTTGCCTAATTTCACAAATTGTTCAGTTAGTAAATCCAACTACATACATAGAAATATGAGTATTCACACATGTCTATAACTACATATTTCATTTCTGTAATAAAATTGGTATAAAACAATTATGAACAAATTAATTTACAGTAAACAACCGCAGTAATTTAATGCACGCGAGTCGCGACAATTATTTTCAAACCTGCGCATTCTATAAAATAGTAAAACTGGTCTCAATAATGTATTAACGGACACACCCTATACATAGAACAGGTTGAAACTGTTTCGTGGAACTGGATATTCGTTACAAAATAACGGATACATTTATTGTTTCCGTTAATCCGTTCCTACCGGCTACCATCTCTAATTTTGTATTTTGATGAAGTTTCTCCTCGACGGCAAAAAACTAACGGTTTTTTCTTATTTAATTTGTATACAATTTATTTTACCGTTTTAAATAACCAATTTTAATATAATGAGCTGCAATAATGAATCTCTGTTAGACGTTCAGAATATATCTACAAATACTAGCTCGTCACAAAGGCATAGGTAACACATTTCTATTTTGCAAAGGTACATCTTTGATTGCAGCGCAAGAAACTCGACCCACACCTCCAAATTCTTCTTTCCATTTCGTTTAAAGGACATTACGCAAGAAATTCTCGATGCCGAGAATGAGCCTTTAAAAGAAATTACTTTGAACGAATCCGAAGAAAGTAACGAATGCTTCCCTGAAACCCAGAAAGAGATACCACAGATCATTATTGATACGAAGTTCGGTGATTTAGGTGTTAAAATGTTGGAAACTCCAAAAAAACCTAACGTGAGTGTGGCACACGCGAAAGAGGGTGTTACTTTTTTTAGTAGCACACCGTTCCCTTTAAATTGTAAACAAATGTCAACACCCAGTTTGGGGCCCATAGGAAAGGTGAATAACAATTTGAAAGTACCTGCATCAGCACACATCATTTCACAAGTGACTCCTTTGTGCATTGGCAACGAAGTAAAAGTAAATAATCGACTAAAGCACTTAAATAAACAGCCGCATGACTATAAGGAGAACAACCCTAAAACCCAGTCAAATGATTTAGAACAAATTTGCGTAAATAACGTAAATTATCTGATTCTAAATCAACTTGGAAGAGGCGGTACATCGGTTGTTTACCACTGCTACAACATTGTCACAAAGGAGGAACGCGCAATTAAGAAAGTTAACCTGGAAAGTGATACACAACGAATTGGCTATTTGAATGAGGTCAATGTTTTGGGTCAGTTGCAGAACAGTGATTGGATAATCCATATGTATGATTAGTAAGTATTCACATAGAGGTTTATTCATTCATCGTACCACAGATGTAAATAAATTACAGGCAGCTCATGGCATAAGGAAATTGTGAAACGTAACTCGTGAAGCTCTAACACAGCTTATATTGAAATTTATATTAATTTTGAATTATTCTGTTTGTGCCTGTGCTTATTATACGGGATGCTATATCTGCATCATACAGGTAAACGAGGCATTTATATAGCCACAGTCTCAAAGATAATACTCGAGGGTTGCCACACATGGCCGAGATTGTTCTAGAATTAGCTGCACTGTTCCGGATCGCGATTTTTCATATATTAATCCCAGAAAAAAATAAAGCAGTGTCTTGAATCAAAATTCAAAACTTACCAATACTCAAACCCAACCATAGCTTTTGTACTAGTGGCGACATTTTTAATTTTTAAGCCCAGCATGTTCCTGTTTCCTGCGCATGTAAAGGTTTTATTTATTTTACTGACGACTATACAATCTTTTTTGTTTAACATTTTATGTTTTCTGTTACTTTTTTATTTTGTGCATTAAAAAATCCAATGGGATTAATAGGTATATGACACTAAAAAAATTAAATATAATACCAATAAAAAAAATAGCAAAATTGTGGAAATTACAAACAAGGTAGCCAATACATTTTTGAATGTGCTATATTTTTCACCCAATCAATCAGGGCCGGATTTATAACGGTGGGGCCCGTGGGCGGATATACTGTGGGGCCCCCTTTTTCAATTTTATTTACTATTTCTTTAAATGCAATTAGTAAAGTAAATTATGATTATGCTCATTTTTTGTAAATAAATAGGCACATCTTATTTCTTAAACGAATTTTTATTTAAAACTATATTAGACCAGGCACCTTTCGAGATTTTTGCAATGCAAATGATGCAAGCACATCATCGAATTTTAAACCTCTTAATATGTCATATTCCATACTCATTATTGCTAGGCTATTTAAACGTTCTTGAGTCATTGAAGTACGAAGTCTGTTTTTTATAATTTTAAGATCTGAAAATGACCTTTCTCCTGTACAGTTGGTGACCATCAGTACAAGATATATTCGCAAAGCTATCTCTACATTTGGAAAAGCTACCTTCAAGTCATTTTCTATTAATATTTTATACATCAAGTGTTCGTTGCTAAGTTCGGAGTCAGGTTTGCACTTAACACTGGTGTCGTCTTTAAAGTTTTTAAAAAATTCTGCAAATTGCACTAATTCAATACCTAAATTCCCTTCCAGATCGTCACTGTAAGTATTCACAAGATTTGTTGCATTATTTTCTAGGTCCTCTCGGCTTAGATCTTCTATGTGGCGTAGAAAAGCAAATCGAGAACAAATTGTTTCATACGCAGTGAGCCTTTGAGTTAAACCAGATGTAAATTGATCTATAACGGGGATGTAGTTTTCAATTTTGAATTTCTCGGAAGGCGAAAGTTCAACTTCAGGTGTTAGTCCGTAATCTAATGGAATTAGGCGCACGTTGCGTTTTCGTTGTCTGTGATGGCCATAATCTGCTGTACCGGATTTCTCCGCACCAAGAACTTCATATGTAGAAAATTTGTCTCGCATCATAGAAACATACTGTTTTAAAGACTTTAAGGCAGCTACGGCAGAGTTAAGATCGAGCTTAGATTGCTGAAGTAGTTGGCTAGTAGCATTGGTTCGGTCTAATATTTCACACCAAAATACTGCATATATTCCCGTTTCTAACATACACATTCGATTGAATAATCCATTTGCATCACAGCGGCTCTTAGGCGTCAGTTCTGCATCATCCGTAATTTGTGTTAAAGCGTTTTTAATCTGATCGTAACCTTTAACTAAAGCTTCGCATGCATCAGATCTGCACGCCCATCGAGTGGTAGTTACACGTTTAGGTATAATTATTCGAGAATGACGCGATTCGGTTTTCTCACCAAAACCATCCGATACTGATTTCAAAGAATCGACAAGAATGTTGTATCTGTGAGTTGAACCAGTAAAGAAAACATACAGCTCTTCTAAAAAATCAAAAAATCCTACAGCAGCAGGACAACATTCAGCGGCGGCCTTTGCAACCAAATTCAAAGAATGGGCTGCACAAGGGACCCAAGTAGCTAATTTGTTTTCTTGCATAACTTTTGCCTGGAGACCGTTGTATTTTCCACTCATAGATGACGCATTGTCATATGACTGTCCTCGGCAGTTTCTTATATCAAGACCATGAGTATTTAAAAATTGCATTAAACCATCAAACATGTCTTGTGCTTTATGACCTTGGTTTGGCATAAAATACAAAAACCTTTCGACGGGTGTGCATCCTTCTATATAACGAAATGTTACGGTCAGTTGGTCGACGTGGCCTTCGTCCGGTGTAGAGTCCAGTGAAATAGAGTAATATTTTGATTTTTTAATTCGGAAAATTATTTCATCAAGAACACTTTTTCCCATGAGTTGGACTACTTCCTCACAAATAGTTGACGAAAGATAATTGGTATGACCACTCCCACGATTTGCATGGGTTTTAAGATGTTGTTGAAGAAAGTCATCATATTGTGCTATTAGCTCTACCAATCCTAGATAATTTCCGTTATTGCGCGAACCAATCAATTCGTTATCACCACGAAGCGCTAGTCCACGTTCACAGATAAACTTGATAACACTAACAAGTCTCTTCAACAAATTTTGCCAATAGTTTTTAATGTTATTTCATTATTTGCTTCCCTTGCAAGTTCAGCATCAATACGACCCATCTCTTTAGAACGCTGCACTAGTGCTATAGTAGCATTTAGGTGTGGTTTAGATATTTCGTGCGCCACTAGCCTACTACTAGCATGTTTCCAATCGCAATATCCATCGCGGCTAAACTGAGTATCTGCCGAAGACAACAATTTACATGCAAAGCAGTATACTCGCCCATTGGATGGCGAAAAACACAACCAAGAACGTTCAATCATTTCACCGTTATGGCTTCTTCGTTTAAACATGCTCAGTTGACAACGTCTTGCATTCACATTCGCACCCGACCCCACGATTTGTTTAAATGATTTTTCTTTGAATATTTCATCATTACAATTTTGGAGAGCAGAAGTTCCTACCTTCGACCAGTAATCGATCAAATGTGATACGTTTGTTGGCCATAAACCAATGTCATTTACATATTCATTACATATAATTTCATTTCTCACACTGTCGTCATCGTCATCTACGCTCACATTTAGAACAGAAGGTGGTTGCAATTGTTCTATTTCTACATTTCCCTTACCCTTTTCAATTAATTCAATCTCTTCATCTGGCTTCATTTGCGATGTAATGAGTTCACTATTCTCATGTTCTTGGATATGCTGATGCTGCTGAGATGTACTAGGATGTGATAAACGTAAGAAATTTGTAATCCGAGGTATCTTGGCAATCAAATCTGCTTTGCTTTTTTCTTTTATTTCGGCTAGCTTACGTTTTTCCGCGCCGCTTTTGTATGTCCGTTTTCCTTTGTGGCGATCGCCTTGTTCCATTTTGCCCAACAAAACTCAAAAGCGTGTAAAATCCTAAAAACAAAAATTATCTAATACATATTTTATGTTTTCTGTTACTTTTTTATTTTGTGCATTAAAAAATCCAATGGGATTAATAGGTATATGACACTAAAAAAATTAAATATAATACCAATAAAAAAAATAGCAAAATTGTGGAAATTACAAACAAGGTAGCCAATACATTTTTGAATGTGCTATATTTTTCACCCAATCATGAATCAATTTTGGTTCACGGAGTGATATGGCGTTCCAGCATATTACAATCTGTCTGTAGCAATATTTACGGCCAGTTGCAAAATCCAGGATTATATCTTAATCCGGTATTAAGACATTTGATTGGCTTTATATTGCAGTAGGCAGCCAATTAAATGTCAAAATTAAAATCAGATTTGGCAAATAATGTAGAATTTTGATTATAATTCGCTTTCCTGCAACCGGCCGTTAGTGTTCTAAAATTCCCTTAATTTATTCACAGTTGCGAATATTTGGGAAATTTCGAGAATATTCGCGCATTTTCGGTAATCATCTATTTTATACTAATTACAATAGGTACACCAAACACTAACTCGATCTTTAATAAAATTGTTTTTTTAAAACAATAAAACGCATCTGAGTTTAAAATTGTTTATTTAACATGGAGTTTAATATACATAAAAAAAACAGGTACAAATTGTGCACAACCCTCATGCAGGTAAAGCACATTTTTTTAAAACACCCCTACGAAATTTCTTCCATAAATAAGAAAGTTGGCACTGCACATCCTACACAAAACCAAATTTGGAAAATGACGCTACATTTGCTTTTATTCCAAGTGGCTATGTATCAAATTTCATTTGAATGCCTCCATAAATAAGAAACTTGGCACTGCGCATGCGCAAAACGAAATTTTGAAACTGGCGTTAAATTGGGTTTTATTTCAAGTGGCTATGTATCAAATTTTATTTAAATGCCCAATGGTTATATTTCTTCCTCGATTTCTTCCAAGCGTCCCAATCGCCCTTTGTAGGTACTTTCCTTTGACAATTCAGTCTTAAGATATAAGGAATTATAACCGATCACGACAAGGGATCGAGGAGGAAGACTATGGTTAGTATAAATTAATTCCATTTGTTGAGACCTTTCATTAGAGTACCATGAAGGGTAAAACATGTGTTTACTCCCCCCCCCCCCCTCTGATTTTCTAAATTTTAACTTGGCACCATTTCCTGGACTCTAGGACCATTCCCCTAGAAGTAGTTCAAAACGGTAGAAGTTGGTCCGGACGGACGGACAAAGCGCAAACAATAGCACATTTTTTTTAATTCTTAAAAAATGCGCTAATTATTACCTATTGTGCCATAAATATTTTTATGAATAAGAACTTTAGTATTGCGCAAACCTGATGTTTACTACATGCGATATGTTTGCCTTTACTATAGAAGATTCTTATGTTAAAATTTCAAAAAATTCAAAAAATGTGTAAATAAGAAAGTTCACATTGCACAAGGTGCGCATGCGCACATCTGATTTTTACAATATGCTTGTCTTTACTAGGATCACCTGTGGTTAAAATTTCAAAAAATATCTATATATTAGAAAGTTGACATTGCTGCACATGCGCACATTGATCGTCAAGGTTGAGGTGCCAGAGGTATGTCACGGAATGCAAAAAGAACGAATAAAAACACAACTCACTAAAAAATTCGAAAGTAAGAATGATAAAAAAATGCAAAGAGATCTGGAAAATGCATGGGAAATATTCGCTTAAATTTCCGAAGCGCGAATATTCGTTCTTAGAAATGAGAAAATTTCCAGAAATATTGCAAAATTCGCTTGAAAATATTTGCACCTCACAACACTAGCAATATTATACAAGAAAATATTTTATACTGCAATGTCCACGGTGATGTCTTATGGAGCGGTATGGCGAGGAAATATTTTTGAAGGGTTTATTCGTGATATGTGATATTCTTTCATATTCAGCCAAAAATAAAACATAAACAGCTATTTTAGACCTTTTGAATTTTAGAACTGGTTTTTTTAATGCATGATCCGTAAATGGCATCACAGTCACTGAAAGTACTAAGGAATTAGACAGCAGCGCTTTTGTGCCAGTACATTCTTATATGAATATAAACGCCGCAAAATATATGATTTGCCTATTTCTGAGTTAACGTCGGTTTCGAAGATTAATTGGTTGTCCATGTATAACCTGACTATAATAGGTTTAGGGTATAAATCGAAAATAATATTGGCCTTAGTATTGATCCTTGAGGAACACCACAAGATACTGCTGCCAGGTTAGAGGAAATTTCATCCACTATACTACTTTCTGATACAAATCAAAGAGGTAATTAAAAACTGTATTGCAGAATTCCCAAAATCTTTACGGCGTGTTCGAGACATCACATCCGATGCAACTTTTGTTTCTCTAATGCAATGCCTATGTTTTTTCAAGACCTTTAAAAAGAGCAATTAATTTACTGTACGGCAACATAGAATATGCATATGGTTGATATACAAAAAAAGTGAAGAAATTTGTGATTCAGTATTTAGAAAACTTATGAAATCTAGCATGCCGGGTGCTGTCCGGTTGCGTGGTATCTGTTGCAGGGGAGTATTGCGCAAAATCGTCAAAATGGAACATTGAACAAGTTGATGTAGGTCTTTTCTATGACAGACACCACGCATCTTGACAGCACACAGTAGGCTAGATTTAATAAATTTTCAGTCACGAATTTTTCAATTTTTTTATATATCATATGCATAATTTATGTTGTCGTACAGTAAATTGATTGCTCTTGTCAAAGATCTTAAAAAAACGTAGGCATTGCATTTGAAAAACAAAAGGTGCCTCCAATTCCCGTTAAACCGGAAGTGTCAATATGCGGTCGGATAGATCGTAATGTAGAATGTAAAATTATATTTGACACATTGTTGGTATCTCCCCAAATAAAAAAGATCTTTAAGTGACCCTTTTATCTTGAACACAGTGTATAAGAATAATAATAGTATTTATTCCATAGACGAACTGGTTTGTGTGGAAATTGTCCACAAATATCTTAATATTTTAAATTATATTGAACGCCCTTGGAAATTACTAAAATTAATGCAGTGATTGCGTTTTCATTAGTGTTTTGCATAGTAGTAATTCTTAAGAGGGCTGTAGCACGCACAAAAATAAAGTTCAGAACAGAATTCAATATTGTTTCTATGGAAACGGCGGGAGAACCTAATCTTGCTATTTTGGACGTCTATATTTAATAGTTCTATGGCTTCAGTTTTGTATTATACACGACGATGAAGGAAACTCGCTCCTGGTCTTCCACTTGGACCAAAATCAGCAACAGGAAGGAAGAAAATAAAATTTACAATATAAATAGAAGAAAGAAAGAGGAAAGAAATAAAATCTGAGTAAATGCTTTTAATTTACAGTAAAATTGTTGCTATTTTCCTGTAATAATTTTACATCTGTGACGGTACAATGCAAATTTTGGGAAGCTAGCTATATCTCATTTGTTCTTTTAGCCAGTATATTGAATCGAATAACACTTTACTACTAGTATTAGAAAAGGGTGAACCGGATCTCTCAAAGATATTAAGGCATTCGATAAACTCCAAGACACACCTACCTCTATACAGGATAATCTGCTATTGGTTGGAGATGTTGTATGCAGTCCGAGAAATCCATAGTAACGGTTGGTTACTTGCACCATTTACCACCCTCTTTAGTTCTGACAAATTTCAGGTATAATTCACGCTGATTTAAAGCCTGCAAACTTTCTTTTGGTAGGGGGGCGCCTGAAACTAATCGATTTTGGGATTGCAACCTGCGTGCAGGAGGACATGACTTCGGCCATTAGATCGTGCCAGATTGGTTCATTTCAGTATATTAGCCCAGAAGCTTTAATAAACCAGCCCAGTAATAATGCGGACAGTCCAAACTTCGGAAAACCGCAATATAAAGTAAGTTGCATATTCATTAAATTCACTTTGACCGTTATTTCTTTTGCAGCTCAAGTACAAAACAGATGTGTGGTCGCTAGGTTGCATTTTGTATCAGATGGTATATCAGAGAACTCCATTTCAGCACGTCCAACAGTTGTGTGCGAAACTGGCACTAATCATGAATCCCAATCATCAAATCAGTTATCCCACTTTAGATTGGGTGCCTGAAAAAATCATAGAAATGATAAAAAGTTGCTTGCAGTTTAATATTAAGGACAGGCCGTCAATTGTTGATTTGATAAAAGAATGCGAACATTTTTTTTTATCGACGCAAAGTAGCAATATTGTAATATAATATTTTTATTAATAGCCCTTGTAGCGTATAACATTCCTTTGTATAAATATCGATTTAGTTTTAATAAACTCGTATTTTTTATTCGATCAATTAGGCACAACAGAATTACTCGACAAGAACATGTGCCATAGTCTTTTTCATATTCAGGTCCCTCTGTGCATGCTCGAAATGAAATTCCATAAGTAGTTCATCAAGGTACATTAGCAATGCCAAACATTTATTAGGCCCCAATTTTTGTGTAAAATGGCAAGTTTGAGTGAAACCGAATGTATCAAAATTTTAATGATACGTATGGTGCTTCTTAAAAAGTTTGTTTAAAATGAAAGAAGAATTGAAATATTGATTAACGTACAGGGCGTTCCATTTAAAACAAGTTGTAAATCAGCATATGCATGATTTAAGCGCATTTTTGGTAATACAGGTCAGTATTTTATTAGCGAAGTTTAAAATTATCGATCTCACGAGTAATTTAATTGGCTGCGTTAAATAATTAATTTTGTTTAATTTCAATTGAGGGTACGTCTTTATTTTGTAAAACAAATCATAAAGTTATTTACTTTAAGTTGTTATACTGGTAGCGCTATCTAACGGTAAAATTATAGCACCTCCGAAAACCATATCGAAATTATTTTCTTCAATTATCGATCTCACCGGTAATCTAACTCAAAATAGACTAGAGCCTGCACATCTACACTACATCAGAAAGCTTTTGGTGAAAATTTGAAGTCTCTAGCTATTGTATAGTTGCTGAGATCTTACCCGGACAGCCAGCCATAACGAATATAATAGTCAGGGAGACATTTCTGAAAATTGCATGTCTAACGGCGTTTTGTGCTACAAACTGGCAACAGGCGGTTCTAGACTAATTGGTCCCCGCTGAAAACGATGCGCCCTGTTGCCAGACCCGATTTTGGCATTTAAGCCCTTAAATCCAAGATGGCGGGCGAAATTATCGTTTTGCGATTATTTCGAGCCCACAAGGCATGCCACGTCGACATCGCTTAGGCATACTTTCGTGTTCATATTTAGGGGCCTAAATGCCAAAACTCCTTTTAAAAACGTCAAAAATGCAAAAATTCGTCATTTTTTTTTCTGGCCGGTTGTCGGCGTCCAATATGTATTCACATGGTAAAGTTAACATTTAAGTATGTGGGGACCTCCAGCAGCGCCATATGCCTGGGGCCTAAACATCAAGATGGCGCTTGGAAAGTCCAAAAAACAGTGAAAAAGTCGTTCTTTTTGCCGTATTTTTACTACACTGGCCACACATTCCCCATTTCGATGGCCTGGAGCCATAATATGAGAATTGCGAATATCATTCTGGATGTTACACAACTGAAGGGCCTTAACTGCGGAAGTGGGGATTCGTCTCCTAAAAACTTTAACTATGGAACCAAGAGGCAGAAGTTGGTTTGGCGGCCTAATTTGAGGGCAAATATATTAAAACATGCTTCCCAAGTTTTCTTTGATTTTCTACGATCAATAGAGATGTGGCCTAACGTTTGAATAGAGCATCTTCATGCGTTAGAATGTATGTAATGTGATATCATGTTAAATTAGTATGAACGAGCTTAATGTTAATGTAAATGTTAGAGTGAGTCGTTAAATCCCAGGTTAAATCCCAAAAAGATACAAAACCTTCCCCATACCATTTTAATAGACAAACTGTAAAAGCCGCGACTAGTTTCGACCAACGGTCATCTTCTGGCTTAAGGAAATTACAGAATAAAACTTCATTGAATTATGTAATCTTGTTACATGATGTAAAATTAATTGACTTTTAATATTAAATGTAATATCGGGCGTAGGTGGAAGACGCCATCGAAGCGACACAGACGATTAACTTCAGGAGCGGCGCCGAAGAAGATGCACAACAACACGCGAGTGCACTGATTGATAGTTTCGCGAATCCGTTCGGTTGGAGATCATAATTCCACCCCCCTCTCGTGGGGGTGTATTACGTCCGGGGTGGCAGTCACAATTACTCATAATAATGTTCCAGAACACCAAAATGAACAGCGAACGTAAAGAGTGGCCAGTGTAGCAAAACTACTTTTGCATTTTTGACGTTTTTAAGCGGAGTTTAGGCATTTACGCCCTTAATATTGAATACGAAAGTGTGCCTAAACGGTGTCGTCGTGTGTACTAGATGTTATTCTACCCTTAAACTACCCAACACGTTCAGTTGCTGCCTTGTGGGCTCGAAATAACCGAAAAAACGGCAATTTTGACCGCCATCTTGGATTTAAGGGCTGAAATGTCAAAATCGGGTCTGGCAACAGGGCGCATCGTTTTCAGCGGGGGGCAAATTAGTCTAGAACCGCTGTTGCCAGTTTGTAGCACAAAACGCCGTTAGACATGATTTATAGCCTTTTTCAGAAATGTCTCCCTGACTATAGCATTTTTTTCAAAAATGTAATTTTGGTGTTCACGTCTCACAGACAGTAATTCACGCGAGTGCCAGCTAAGCAAATGTATATTGCCCGCTATACGTATGTGCACATACCCAGTGTATTTTGATTTATTTCAAAATGAAAATTTCAGCATGATGCAATTACAACAAATTAAAAAAAAAGGCCATATAAGCTTTATTACTTTAATTTGTATCATGTTGAAATTTTGGTTCATTATTTTGTAACTAATAAAACTGTCCTGAAAATTTCATTAAAATTGATGGAAATATTCTGGGGGCTTAGTTACTTATGGCGGCCACCCTGAAGTGGCAGCACAGACAAGAATGTTAGGATTGAAGTGGAATAGAATCAACAGAGGAACAAAAAATGGCAGTATAAAAATTCAAAAAATGGAGAACCAACAGTTAAGATGATGTAACCATCAGAGATGATCAGGTATTAAAACTTAATTCATTGAAGTATTCTTAAAAACGCATTTTAAAATAAAAAAATTAAATTATATATTTTATTAGCGAGAATTTACACATTTACGCTTCTTTCTTTGGGCGTTGCTTCTTGCCACGTGGAGGTTTCTGAGAACGGAGTACAGCACTTGCTCTCCTAAGAGCAGACTGCAAAAAAAAGCGTATTAGTACAGAGTTAAGTACTACAACAAAGAAGTATGTACTCAATGTACTCAGATAAAATTGTCTTCAAGGCCGTCAGAGATCTTGGTGATAATAAAAATCATCATGACAAAAAACAAAAACTAACTACATGTTAAAAAAGCAAACTCTCACCTTGGTCAGTTCCATTCGGTACTTATTGCAGTTCATTAATCGCTTAAGATTGTGCAGTGATCGCCTCGGTCCTGACTTCATGGTGGTTTTCACAACATTCTTAGCAGGACAAAACTGAAACAAGCAACAGTGACAAACCCAAATTTCAAATAAATTCGTAAAAAGAATTAGAAACAGTCTCAGTCTGGGTGGGTGATGAGATTGTCTTCATGCAAATCCAGAACAATATCAATCATCATATATAATAAAAAATTAAACACAGTTTTTGAAGATGCATACCTGTTTCTTCTGCTTCTTATAAACTACCGTGAATCCTTTCTTATCGGGTGCATCGACAATGCCGACGGCTTTCTTATGCACTAGGCCGCTGTACTTATACGAGCTTAAATTCGTAAGATTGAAAGGCTCCTAAAAAACAGTCGTGTATAAAAATACCAAGTTTCATACATTAACACCTACTTACAGCACTGAAGGGTTTTTTAATGTTACGTTTTTTGATCAAAAACGCGTTGTTGTTGCGGATCATGCCCCACACTAGCAGTGGCGAATAGGAAGTCATCTTGTCTATGAAACAGATTAAAATTAACACGTGGTTTACTAGGGTTATATACAAATTTACTTCCAAAATCAGCAATTTTAGTATTTTAACAAATTTGGAAATAAACAAACAATACGTAAATTAATAATACGACTATATAGGTCTAAATGTAAAAATTTACGAAAGGTTACACACATACCTGTCCCTTATCGACCAACGAAAAGGAAATACGGCCATTTTGCAAACAACAGGAAGTTTTATTTTGCAAACAGCGCCACCTAAACAATCACGTTAACCAACATCATAACGTGAAACTATTCCAACTTTCATTTTTTAGACTACATAGGGTGTTCGTAATGTAATGTATTAGAAGACTTATTTGTTACAAAAAGTAAAAACCAAACGTTAATGGTTCTGTTAATTAATTATTTCAAATGTGGAATGCTCTTTTAAGGCAGCGTTTGTAAACGGTAGGTACCTATTATGGTCACACAAAATCCAAGAAATGTTTTATTTTAGTAGGCTCTGGCTTCTCCTACCCATATATCTACTTTAATATTCTTTTTCTATTTTTGATAGGTTCTCTATTCCACTTTGTATTTCTCACTTGAATCATTTTATTCACATGCGCTCTGTTACTGTTATACTTATACAGACTAAACTAAATCATCGACTATATATATATATTTATTCTGATCACTGCTACTAATTTTTATTTTTCCGCACCCATACATTATGGGTAGGTGAAGTATTGTTTTCATCCCAGGAAAAAGGTTATTGTTCCCATGATAACTCAAAATATACTGGGACTTTTTGCAGGCGTATTACTTGCTGGTTCGAGAAGACACCTATTAATTTTCAGACCGGTGGGGCATATCCTTCTGCGCATGCGCAGTTGTAACTTTCTTATTTATGAACCGATCTTGCTGAAATGTTTACAGTAGCACTTTTTAATAAAAGCAAATCGATTGACTAAGTATAATAAATATATGAAAAGCCTAATATAATTTCCACACTCTGCATTTTATTAGCGCCGAAACTTCTATTATTCTATTCTATTAAGTCAGGTGAAGCCATATTCAGCAGCGGATTCGCTTTCACAATTTAAAGAGTGTTATACCTACAATTGTAGCGCCTTACCAACTGCAATCCATGTATACCCATGGACACCTTTACATTTTTCTTTCTTGGTTTGTCAGGACCACACGATTTCAATACTCAAAAATAGAAAGCATAAAGACGTACAAGTTTATTTGACTTCTCTTATATATATAACACAGTATTGCACTTAAGTTAACTTAGGGACAAGGCAATTAAAAATCTAAATCATCACTTAAGGATGTCTGGGTACCAGGTGTAACTCTACAAAATGGACAGAATCCCTTTTGAAGTACTTGCAGCTCAAAGTCATCCACGTGAAAAAACTAAGATCATTCTAATAATAATTTAGAAAAAAAACAATATCATACATACCTTAAAGCAATAGCAACAAAGAGTGATTTGAACATCGGGTATTAGGTTACGATAATACTGAAAGTGCAAAGGTGGATTGCGTTTACACACTAGCACGTTTGAACTATCCAAGGATAACAAAATTTTCCTACCAACCACGACTGGTTTGTATTTACTTTCGTCTTTCTACAATATTCATTTAATTCGAAGTAATTAAAATTGAAATACTTACATCGTAATTAATTACCTTTGAGGTAAACGCCTCGTCTATGTCATCGGTATCGAAATCTAATTGCAAAGTTTCGTGTGTCTCGCTTATCTCCTGCTTCCCTTTACTTTCGGCACTCGGCGGCGTTTCGATTAATCGTATCGCCTCCAAGTCCGAAATGTTGTCGTCCAATTCGAATTCGACCAGAGGCAGAATTTCTGCAAGTTTAAGTTAGTCGAGGAACGTTCGAAAATGCGCTTACCGAACGTTACAAACGAGTATATAAATTTGTGTCCGCAATTTACGCATCGGTTGCTATTAGCGGCGAGCGGATTGTAGGTGGAGCATCTGTAACACATCGGTAGAAGGTCCTCGGGATCGCTGTAAGCCCTAGCTCGTGCGGCGATGGTCGAAATTTCGACTTGCTCTTGGAACTTTATTGGTATTATGAGTGTTTGAATTTTATCGAAGAGTTGTTTTGCTAGTTTGTTGGCGCCCAACGATCGCGATTGCTTGGCTAGCGTGTACAATATAGAGCTTTCTTATATTAAGGACGCAATCGTAACAACAATTTTAACATACAATTTTCAGGAAGGCATTAATTTTTGTTTTTTGTAACACATTCATTCGAAACGGAAACACACTAGAATTTGACCTCGTTGTAAGTCTCATTTCCATGCTCATTCCACAATCACCGCCGCCTGAACACAAAACAAATAAGTTTAATGGTAATGGCATTTGTCAATTTCTTCTGATTTTGTCTGATTCAGATTCCTGGTGCAAAAAAGTGTAGTTGCATTAAAGTGGGGGGCCATTTTTGACTCTCAATGCAATCCTTTACTAGCGCAATAGGTGGTAATACAAATGTTGCAATCGTTTTGAGGAATTTCCATTTAGCTTAGCTAACATTCAGTAGAGGGTGGATTTTATTATTTGCCAAGGGAAGGTACAGGGTGTTAATACAAGTTAGGGTATACTTTAGTGTTCGTTGCGTCGTTAGAAAAAAGTGGAACTTTCCATACGTGTGGGTAGCTTTCATTTGAGATTAATTTTATTAATTAATGTTAAAATAATTTAGGGTGTTATATAACTTTATACATGTACTTTTATATTTTAACAATTCGCAGGAAAGTGACATCCAAGTTCAATTATGATATTTGTTATCGGCTTGTATGATGGGTCGAGGGTTTTGATTTATGTGGCGGCGTAATATACTTGCTGATTTGTTTGAAGTGGTATTTTTCCACCATTTCATTGTATAAATGCCAAATGTGATTATTTTTCATAACTCTCGAATATTTATGTTATTGGAACACTGTTATGTGATGGGTCTCGAACCGTACTTTGTATGCAAATATTATACCTCTGCAGTATATAATGAGACAGGTTATGTTCTAGCCAAAGGCGGGCGCCTGAACTCGAACCATGAACAAAAACCCCAAACATACCATGTAATATTGTTGTGAAACAAGAGAATTATCAAATGTTTACCCAAAAATTCCGCGAACTGATAGAATCAGTTTCATAGTATTACAAGCCAATACACACACTTAATTTACCTGCAACACAAAGACAAAGGATACAATAATGAAACACCCTTTGGCTTTTCATTTGCAATCTGTGCCATCAGGAACCGAGAAATATTAAATAATGCTTCAGGCATGTATGAGGTGAAGGGATCTTCTAAGTATCGATGAATTACATTGTAACAATAGTAGACTTCGGCCAGGTGCTCGTTCTTGTAATACCCATTTAACATTTTCTCTTTTTTCTTATTGCTACAAATAAGTACATAAATAGTTAGGTACTATCCACTAAATTAGCCAAGCTAACTGTTTTTAAATGATTAAATATTTTCTTTAATTTTGTTTAAGAAGATTCCTATGAAACCAACTATTTAGTTACATTTCAGTACCAAGGAAGTTCAGATTTCTTACAACAGGTGTTGAGGGACTATCGAGGCGCACGTAAATTACCAACCGGCACGCTCACAGTGACCATATAGCAGTCATGGGCTTATGAAATCAGAGCAGTACGCCATCTAACATTTATCTTAATCACTGTAGAAATCTGCCATTTTCTTGGTACTGTACCTATTAGCTGATCGCATTATATAAAAAATCTGATCCATTTGCAGTGTTAAATTTCTGTGGTATTAGGTACTTCTACCTTACATTATTCGCAAGGTTACTGGGAATTGAGTGAAACATAAAGAAAAAAAAACAAATGCCCTGCGTTTAATGTAATATTCAATACCAAAATTGATACATACTCTCCTCTTGATAAATCTAAACACTGCTCCGCCAAAATCCAATAATAGTAACCAGCATCCTGAAATCGATTTTCAGTAACCGCATTTTCTGTTAGTTGTTGCAGAACTTTAAACGCTTCGTCAGGGAGGCCGGCGAGATAAAACGCTAAAAAATATCGGCGACAATTACGCGATAATTTCCATTTGATTGTACCTTTTTGAGACTGAACGAACTTGTCATTTTCTGCGAGCCAATTCGCGTACGGTACGTAAACCATCGCCTTGTACTGCGGTTGAATTTTAACAAGCGCGAACGCCTCTTCCCACTGCTTGGTGTCGATGTGTAATTTCAAGACGGCCTCGGAATCACCTAGCCGTCGGTAAATTTCTGCAGCGCTAGTTGAGTCGTTCAGGCGTTTTAAATGCTCTGCTATTGATATTAGCGACGAACGATCGGTTTTATCTAATCGACGTCCAAGATCGGCCAATCTGAAAAGGACTCTCTTTTTGTTTTTTACACAATAAAGTCGCTGCGAGCTATAAAGGCTACCAAGTTAAGCAAGTTAAAAAGTAATCGTAAACGATTTACATAAAGCGCATTTTCACTTGCATTCATTTCCCATTTGTAAGATGCAACTTTTGTTAAAATCGTAAAAATCCGGCCACAAATATGAAAGATAGCGTTGCACATGGGCAATCCATTGTTGACGTGCTACTTCAATTTCAGTTTATGAGAAGAATTTCATTTCAATGTTTTTCTAAATAAGAAAGTTGGAACTGCGCATGCGCAAACCTAAATTTTGAAACTAATGTTAGATTTTCCTTTGTTCCAAGCGCCTAAATATCAAATTTCACTTAAATGCTTCCATAGATAAAAAAAAGTTGGCACTGCGCATGCGCAAAATAAAATTTTGAAACTGGCGCTAGATTTTCCTTTATTCCAAGTGCCTATGTATCACATTTCATTTAAATTCTTCCATAAGTAAAAAAGTTGGCACTGCGCATGCGCAAAGCCAAATTTTGAAACTGGCGTTTGATTTTCCTTTATCCCAAGTGCCTATGTATCAAATTTCGTTTAAATTCTTCCATAAATTAAAAAGTTGGCACTGCGCATGCGCAAAACCAAATTTTGAAATTGGCGTTTGATTTTCCTTTATTCCAAGTGCCTATGTATCAAATTTCATTCAAATACTTTTATAAGTAAAAAAAGTTTGCAATTCGGTTTATAAATGGTCGAGATGCGAAAAGGGCACTGTGAATTTTGAATCGATTCGATTCAACTTTTGGCATTGCGTATTATATTGCTAAAGCTATGCCCATATTGAATTTCATGCAATTCAGTTCATAACTAACGGAGATGTAAAAGCGATCGAACATTTCTCAACAAAGTTATCGTTCACACGGACAGATAGATGGACAGACAGACAAAGAAACAGACAGACAGACCAACAGGCAGACGACAGACAGCAATGCAAAATTATAAACGATCTCTAGGATCGTTAATAAACGGCAAAAGTGTAAAATTATGGAACATGTAAAAAACGGTTTTTTGTTTTTTTTTTACAATAACTTTTTTTGTAAGCGGTACAGAAAAAATTCCTTCCTTGGTACAAGACTCGACACCATAACGAACCAAATAGCGAAAAAAGTAGAACAATAGCTCTTAAGGTAAAGAACTAGTAGCGTCGCAAAACGAGCGGACGGACGGACGGACAAAGTGGCCACAATAGCGCATTTTTTTTATTTTTGTGGAAATGCGCTAAAAATATATCCCAAATAGATAGCAGTACATATTGCTGTGTTATTTCGTTTGGCAGGATGAAATTTTGGAAATTTTAATTAAGATGGACAAAAGCGGTCTCCTTATGTAATTAACTTTCATAATTAAATTTTTTAATTTGTCGTTGGTCTATTGTAACGACATGGAAATTATTACTGTCATACGAGAAAGCGGTCCAGGTTGTTTTTGTTTAATTTTTATTTTTATTTAACGTAGAATTTCCGGGGATTTTGTTTGCTTTTATCTGTTATCAATTGTAAATGCTTAATTTAATTGACGGGTGGATGTGATTTATCGCCTTTTCTGTGGAGTTAAAAGAGATGAATTTTTATTTTTCCTAGTATTAATGTCTGATAAGAATTTGTTTAGTAAAATTATTCGACCTCTATTAGTTTGGCCTTTTTTCGTACGTAGCAGCTAGCAGGGATAGATTTTGTTGTCAACTGTGTAATGATTGGTTGTAATAATTTAGATTTTCGGAAGAAGGGTTTCGCTTTAAATAGGATTTGAACAGGGATAGCGTCGCTTTTAGGCACAGTCATCAAAGAACTACGCTTCATTGAAATTCAAATCAGCTTTAAGCCAAGTTCAGAGCCCAAGTGCGGTTAATTTAAAATTCGCTGTACGCACAGTTTACGCAGTTACATCTTGTTAGAAGATTTAAGTCAGTTTTTTTTGGTACGTGCAGCATCGAACTACGTTTCGTTGAGGAATTTATTTCGCTTCGTGCCGTTTCCATCGTGGAATTTGTCTGGAAGCGACGCCGGCTAGTTTGAAGTCAGGGCAGTATTACGTTTTTGAAGGTAGAAGAAGTTCCGTTTGCGTAGCCGGAAGCCGAGTTCGCGGCTAATTATTATTCTACATTTCACGTTTGTTCGTGCTGGAGGATTGCCCTAAAGTTCTGACCATTTAATAAGGTGCTTCAAAGAAAAGAGGTTGTCGGACCCCTATGCGTGTGTTTTCAACGTGTAATCGTTGAATTGAAATTTGTAATTTGGTGTTTTGTGTACGGATATCTGTTAATTGGATTACCTTCCCGGACATGTAATGTAAGTAATTAAGTTTTAATTTTAGTCTTAGTGTAATAATTGTTCATTTTTCTTGAGTGTGCGTTAGAATTAAATCGCACTTTTATCTTTTTTCTCTCATTAATTTCCGTGTTTCATTCACAACGACGTCTTTTCTAATTTACTTGTTTTTGTTGCATGCTTGCCCAAGGTCCATTTTAATTATTAAAAATTTCACTTGGAGTTTAAGGTATTTGTGTTAAATAACAAAAGTAAAGAGCTAGCTAGGGTTTCGTTTAGGTGTTTTGTGTTCGGTATTTCTGGCCTACGGACCAGTACACACGGCATTATTACTTGGCGCCCAACGTGGGGCACACAGTATTATTATTTGGCGCCCAACGTGGGGCACACAGCATTATTAGTCAAAGTGGCACAGTGGAAGTATAAAATGATCACTTTAACGACAAGGGTACATCAAGTGACACAAATAATTGTGCATTCTAATGACATCTGTCATTCTTATTAAAAATTGGACGCGTTACACGAAGCAAAATGATTTAGAACGGAAAGCAATTACAAACGTATTTGATGTGTAAACAAAAGTTATCTGCGTTAAAAGTATTCCCGACACCGGACACACAATTTGTGCTGTATATGTAGTTGATAATGCTTTTAAGATTTGCATCATTTTGAAAGGAAGTCTAAGTGCATCTTTAGTTAGTTAGTGACCTACAAGATGTCTGTAACGAATACTACTTTGATATTTAGGTTCTTTGTTTTTACCCCTCGTTTTACCCTCTGAGCTCAGAATGAATCAAGTGTTCATTTGTTTAAGGTTCGAAAGGGTTCAGAGGAATAGAGGTACTTACTGATCTGTCCAACCTTGCTCGCCCATTATCTCAATCGCAGCCTGCGTTTCACCGATAGACAGAAACATTTCAACTGCAGCTTTGTGTTCGTTAATGTTTTTAGCCCACTCCGCTTTCTGACGTACCAAACTGACATTATCACCCGCGCCTAGGTACTCTTGGGCAAGATCAAACATACGCAGATCAGTGTACATGGCGAGCGCCCTGTTTTCCTGTCCGGCTTTTACGTACAGACGCGCTGCTTCCTTAAATCTACCTCTGTAGGCCAAAACATCGCCAATAAATACGTCGTTATTATTTTCGCCCTTCTCTTGTCTCTCCTAGAAATCATTTGATCATGAACCAAAGCAGCCCTGTACACCACTCTTACCTGTATATCGCCAATCAACTCAAGATAATTATAATCTTGTAGTTTAATAAACGCGAGTTTCGCAACTTCCAATTCCAAATCTTCCAAGGCCGCAAACGCTAATTCTTCCCAATCGCCATTGGTAACTCCTAAATACTCAGATTATGCCTGTTAACTTGCCATGCGCCAAACTAACCTAAACACGCAATCTTATGAGCTTCGTTGTACATCTTTTTTTCGATATACTGATACATTGGAGCGCTTAAAGGCAATTCAAAGGTCGATATCGTAGATCCATTCAAACAAAACACTCTCGATCCCGTCAAACCTACCACAAAACCCACAAGCTGCTGTTTGTGGGCTGTAAATGTGGAAACTTTAACTGAAAGGCAGTTATTGCCACTAAAAGCGATCATGTCCTCGTAATAGCTGTTCCAAACTGCACTATTTGTGTTGGGTTCCTACGGTAACGCGACCAGTAACATTTGTTAGTTTGTAAAGTACCCACCTGAAAGTATAATTCTCCGTTGTGCGAGTCGAATACTTGACAGAGACCGGTCTCATCCACTACCGCCAGTTTTTCTTTGTTGCGACTTAAATCTAAACACCTTACGGCGGCACTTACAGTTACTTTTAATATTGGGAAAGAGTTATCAAGGTGGATTTGCCATACCTACGAAATGAGCTTATTAATTATCATCTGCTTTGTTATTGCAGCTCTGGGGGGGGGGTTTGGTGAAACCCACAAGTGTATAAGCCCTTGTCCAGAAGGAGCGAATTCGCCGCGCGTATTACGTTAAATTCGCGCGATGCTTTTATGGACGCGAAGTATAAGCCAAAGACGATTCGCTCCATCTGCACAAGGTCTTCACTATTCTAAATATACTCAAACGTTGTTACAATTTGATGTGTAAAATATACTAACCTCCCCGTTCTTTAAACCCACTATGAGACCCTCCTTTGTAGGTAAACCACCAATAACTTTAATATATCTAATGGAACTGTCAAAACTCCAATCTCTTTCTTGAACACCAGCAAACGTCAAACTTCTAAGCTCCTTCTCCTGGCAAATGACTAGATGTTCGGCACATACCACCAGTAAACTACAATCCAATCTACGAGTAATTTTCTCTTTAACACGATAGTGCATATCGTTGACATCCTCCGAGTACAATTCGTATATCACTATACGTTCTGGCAATTGCACCTACAACAAAAATACAACACATGGGTCAATGTCAAAGATATCTTATGGAAACTCATGTTATGTCAGAAAATACCTTCTGTGGGACATGGCATGGACCGTACACAACATCACAAAAATTAAAGTGACTTAAAACTAGCGTGTCCGTTAATAGCAGCTTTAGACTGGTTTCGTGGTCGGCATTTGTAACTGCAGTATCCATGGATACTCGCATAGTTTGATTTTAAGAACCAGAAGAACCGAGTGGATAAAATCTATTTGAGTTGCGTAAAAATTAGCAGTTTGTAAGTTGAGTAAAAAAAACTATTAAGTTCTAGCAAATTCGAATTCGTGAAAAACAATTTTATACCTATCCGAATAGGCGAAATGCAGTGGATTACGGGACGAGGAAAACTTTTTAGCAGCCTGATTCGTAGCAAGGTCTTTTATTTACAAGTGATAAAATTTACGCGAAGGAACATTTTCGAGTAGGGGAACCGCTTTTCAAATAAACTGAGCTTAAAACTCATTCTGATAAGCAAAGAATTTCTTTTTTTTTTTCAGATTGCTCATAGTAACGGCTAGTTAAAAGTCAGTGTCCACAGTTGAGTGACGTCATTGGATACTGCATTGTGCGATAGATACAATTTTGTATGCAACGGGATACCTACGGCAAGGAATTTGAAGACAATTAATCGGTGCAATTACTTGCAACCATCCCTAGTGAATAAATTGGGCAAAATTAATATCAACGGACAGCGAAACATTGGCCTACTATGCCTGTATATAATTACGATCTCGAGTACATTCGCGAAATTGAAGTCGGTTTGCTTGGATTCTCCTTGAAGTTACCTGTTTTAGTGATCACTCTGTAGATGAACACCCAGTATCTAGAAGCGTTTTAAGTTGGGTGCTTCGTTATGAAAAGTGTCGTGTCGAAAGTATTTCTGTTGGTTCTTGATGATAGAAGCTAAAAGTAATCCATTTAATGAGTTGTGTTACAACCGCCGTTATAATAAACAAAAATTGTAATTACTTAATCTGCTGTTTGCAACCGTTCCCGTCAAGATATTTCAATTATGTTTGTTGAGTCCAAAATCTCGTCATTTAGAAGCGCGTTAATTAATTTAAATTTTAAGATCAAATTACAGATTTTTAGAACGTTTTAATTTTTGGATGTAGATTACCGAATACGCTGTGTCGGCTGGGAAACCGTCGATCCCTCCATGCAATAGTAAAAGGTAAAGCCGTTGTTTAGAGAGGATCTTTTTTGCCTTTTGCATCTTCGCAATTTATACGTTCATATGAGTATCGTAATTTTTGAGATTTTCCGTATAGTTACTTGGCAACCATACCGTATTTAAATCATCGACCTTTTTACCTTTGGTTGAAAAGAACATGAGTTTCCATAAGAAGTGTCTCTGTACAGTGTAGGCGGTGTGATACGTACGGCAAGGCGATGCTTGTAAATTGCAATCTTCCTTATGAGATCTCGACATTTAATTCTCACTTTTTGTTCCGTGAGCAAATGCTGTATGATAACATCGGTCATATGCTCTCGAAATGCATACCTCTCCTTGTAAAGGCCGTGAACCGTGTTAAAAATCAATTGGTAATAGGCAATTGTACCATCTTGACACCCTACCGCCTGCAAATCACCGATCATCACCTGACAAACTTACATGACGTGATCATTACAATGAAATTAGCACTCGGATGCGCTGCACAACACCAAGCCCAAGAATGCTGCTGATCACCGACCATCCCAAGCTTGATGCCTTCGCGTGTATACAAGCAGCACGTCTTATTTGTACCAGAAATTAATAAGTACTCCCCATTGGGAAAGTAGTGCACTCGTAAGGCGTCGAATCCCATTTGTCTCTCTTTCCCTATTAATTTACCCCCCAACGTGTAAAACGATAGCGTGTTACTCCAATCGGTAACACACAAAATATCGGCGGGGTCGTCCTTGGATGGACTCCACGAAATTGCCCAAATTGAGGGGTTACCGGGCCGTTCGATTCGTCCCTTCTCTTCCCCATCCTAAAATCAGCACATTTAAAACAGAATAGATGGAGGGATAAACCGCTGAGGAAGTTTTAGTTTACCGGGTGGCCCAATAAGACTGTTCCTCGGCTATATCTGGGAACCGATCGTCGTATGATTTAGGGGTAAAAAAAATTATTGGATAAATCGGTTATGAAGAATCGCTGGAAAATATTTTCAAGTTCTAAAAATGACCACCAGAGGGCGTAACTGCCATCTTAAATTTTCAAATTGCATTTTCTTTCAATTTCTCATAATAAACTAAACATTCTTTTTTCACATTTTTAAAGAGAACCAGTTTATCTATCATTTTCGTAAAAATAAAAACTCAGTTATTTCAAAAACAAAGATGGTGCGGGGCGTTCAATTGTTTTTGCAATAACCTGCTTTAACTTCTTTAACTGCTAGTTTTGACACTATGATCCAAATTCCTAAAAAAATCCGAGAAAAAATCAAATGGAATGATATGACTTTTTCTTTATGAAAAAGTAGCCAAACAACACCCAAAGAGGCCAGTGAAAACCGATTTTCAAAATATCGTTCCTAACCTCAAATATTGGGAAAATGAGATTAACTAATTAATTAATAAAAATGCTTAAATTGTATCCTATTTAACGTATTTCCGGTATTTGTCGATGGCGCAAAAGATTGTTTGGAAAAGGACCATACACTTTTAGGTAGGCCTTGGAAAATTAAACAAATGAAACCATCGCCGCCAGTATATTAAATGCTTCTTGGGTAGAAATCGGCATTTTAGAAAAGATTACAAATTCAAAAAACTGCACTTTCTGAATGCGCAAACACAGCAGAATAATTTACAAATTATGGCAGTTATCATTTTATAATGCATCGTGCGCATCGTGTTTCATTTATTTAATTTTCCAAGGCCTATCTAAAAGTGTAGGGTGCTTTTCTTTCGCACCATCGACAAATATCGGAAATACGTAAAAAGTAAATTTAAGATACAAGTTAAGCAATTTTATTAACTAATGAATTAATCTCATTTTCCCAATATTTGAGATTAGGAACGAGATTTTGAAAAACGGTTTTTACTGGCCTCTTTGGATGTTATTTGGCTACTTTTTCATAAAGAAAAAGTCATATCATCTCATTTGATTTTTTTAAGGATTGTGGGTCATAGCGAGGGTCAGTGTCAAAACTAGCCCCCTGGCGGAAAAGGATTCAACTACATTAACTATATTTTGGTTGATTCTCATTGCCCAAGGAATGCTCTTTTCAACCATACCAAATTTGTTAAAATCGGTCAAACAGTTAAGAAGTTAGAGCAGGTTATTGCAAAAACAATTGAACGCCCCACACCATCTTTGTTTTTGAAATAACTGAGTTTTTGTTTTTCCGAAAATGATAGATAAACTGGCTCTCTTTAAAAATGTGAAAAAAATTGTTTAGTTTATTATGCGAAATCTAAAGAAAATGCAATTTTAAAATTTAAGATGGCAGTTACGCCCTCTGTTGGTCATTTTTAGAACTTGAAAATATTTTCCAGCGATTCTTCATGACCGATTTAGCCAATAATTTTTTTTACCCCTAATTCATATGACGAACGGTTCTCGAGATATGGTCGAGGAACAGTCTTATTGGTACAATTTAAAAAAAATTGCAGACAAGTAAGCATAATAAGGGATATTACACTAATTTTACCAATATTGAATCTCTAACATAACCGAGACCATGAAGGTAAGAGCCGAAAAGTTGGCACACCCTGTATATCCGACCAGACATAAAATATTGCAAGAAAGTTCAGCTTTGTTTATGAATAAAAAAATGGTTTCAGGTAGGAAAGATTAAAGAAAGGGCAGTGCAAGGAAATACCGAGAAATGCAAGGAAGTCTTGATTAAGAAGGAAATAGAAGAAAGCAGTTAATCCCTCAGGAATAGTATTACCTTATTTCGTATGGAAATCATACCGTTTCCCAGCCCCAAAGCTAAATACAGACCGTCGTTCGTCCACGAACACGTATTAATCCGACTTGTAACTTTATGCTTTTGCACCGCCTTCTGTTCCGCAGTCCAAAAGGCAAAATCGGTAAGTGCGCACGATGCAAGCTGGTTCGATACCGGATTATACGACAGGCACTGAACCGCATCACTGTGACTATACTTGAGTAAGCCCAGAAGTTTGTTGGACCAAACTATAACGGTTTTGTCGGCACTGCCACTTGCAAACTTCTCACCGTTTTTCGCATAAGCGACACAATACACCATATCCTTGTGGCCCTTTAGTGGTTGTATTAGAGCTCCATTGCCTGTATCATACACCAACACCCGATTACCACTGGCCACAACAAGTTGAGTGCCCTCAGGGTTGAAGCACAAGTCATATATACTGAAAGAGATCTATTTAGTTTATTTGAATTTGAAGATACTCTTACCATTGCTCGACTTTGTCACTGTCTTGTATTTTGTCAACCCATTTAGGTAAAGTTCGCATTTTTATTGTGTAAAGTTGAGCTTGTTCATTTCTTTCATAGTCTAAGATTTATGTTGTGTTCATTCGTGTTGACGGTTGCCTTGCCAACGTGAACTATGTTTGAATTTTAAATCACCTGTTGCGCTTACTCTTTAAATCTTAGGCAACACATCATGCATCAGTGTACCAAACTGAACTGCCATTCGCTATTGGCCAAATGATTTTGATTTATTGGACTCTGAAAGTGATCGTGCGCGTCGCACTTGGAAACTCCCGCCATTTTGAAATCGTTTAATTCAAAAATCTGGAGTTTTCCGAGCGGAGGTCCATATGCATTCGAAAATGCACATATTTGAGAGTACAAATCGGTATTTGTTCATGTTTCATTAATAATTTGTTATATAAATCATTAGAATCTTTGCGCCGTGTCTATTATCTTTTATCTCAATTGTAAGTTAGACTGTATTGTCTATTTTAGTAAAGCCATTGTTTAAATACTTTATAGTTAAACAACCATATGGAAATATTACTTGAACGAAATAAGTAGTTCTGGTCTAGAAAATCCAGTTGGCGCTACTATCGTGCTCTAAATAAGTAGTGACAGTTTACGACGAAAGGTTGCGCTTTATCATTACAGACTTTTTAGTAAGGCCTGCAAAAATCGTCAACAGATGGCTCTCCTTCAATGTAACCCGATCGGCTACACAGCGTAACTGAGGCGACCTTGAGTAAGAATGCAAGTTGTAACTCTATACGGCTACGATTATACTATATAAACAAAACGCTGATGTTTAGTTCGACAGCAAATTCCTTTTGCTTTACTGTTAAGAGAAAGAGTCACATATTTTATTTAATCTTTATTTGTCACATATTTTATTTAATCTTTATTTGAAGCTCTAAAGTAAAGACGGTTTTTTTTCACTGCGCTTATAATAATTAAATTACGTAGGTACCTATGCGTATTACTTGTTTTACCTATTGTGTGTTTAAGCGAATTCGCATTTATAATAATTTTTGTTCCGGGGTGAGTTGGTTGCGTTCAAACAAGATAAATTACGATAATTAAAATCTGGTAGCAAATTTTGCTTTAAGTTTGTATTAAAAAAAGCATGCGACGGTGCAGTAAATACACTCTGATTTCAAGTCCCTACAATACAATCCTGTAAAAGGTAAATCGTAACATTTGCCCAATTTTTTTGACGTAATGTGGATTATTCACATTTAACGATCCTCGAGATCGTTTATAATTTTGTATTGCTGTCTTCTGTCTGTCAGTTCAGTGTGCACGATAACTTTGTTTAAAAACGTCCCATATCCCTTTGAAAATTTTAACACAAATCAGAAAGGTCGTTATTGTTTTTCAGCTACGTAGAGGTAGACTATCGAGCCAAAAACAATTTCGAAGATCGTTCGGTATTCATTTGTATGGGAGTTTACCCAGAATGTATGGATTTTATTATAAAGTCTTTAAACAATGCTATTATTAGAAGTCGAAAAAAAGCTGAATTCAATTGAAATGTATTTCGTTACCTTTATACCTATTATTATTTGTTCAAAACTCTAAATTACACTAATTTATTAAGGATCTTCAGAGCCTTTATAGTTTTGTATTGTCCGTCCGTCCGTGTGCACTATAACTCTTTTTAAAAGTGACCGATCATGTTGAAATGGCGTACGAGTAGATACTTTGGACATTAAGGTCGTATCGAGGGTCGGACGCTATTGATTTTCAGGAAGCTGGCTCAACAGGAACAAAAGTTATAGGACTTCGAGTGAAACGGGAACAGGAAACACTGTGGGCTCAGTATAATAGAAATCAACATATTTTCATTGCCTAGGTCATGTATCGAGTTCGGACTGTCGCTAGATTATTCCCTGATACTTAGATGTGTAACAATTCAATATTCTTCTCTGTGGTCTAGGTCAAAAGTTTTAGAGCAAAATGTACCCAAAATTAGTCTTCACACATGAATTTAGAGTTGTAAAAGCTTTCAATGCCGGAAACATGAATTTGATGTATTTTTATTGACCATATGTATTCTGATCAAATCATGTCAAAATCGTTATTCATGCACCAAGATCGTTGGGAAATAGACCAAGAGCATTATTATGATGCCCTAGATTCGAATTTATTTATTAGTATTTTGCAAGGTTGAAATAAATGGACGTTAAAAACGTGGTGGACCGAGTTAAGGATCCTTCAATATTTAGCACTAATCCTTGAAATCGATTGGTGAAGGATTAACGTCGCTGTTTCTTTTCGTTTTCAAGTTTAGACGAGGAACAGATGGATATACGAACGAACAGACGGGCGGACAAAACCATCACATTTCATCACACATCACACAGCAATTTCTTTTGAAAAATTCCTTTAAAAGGAAACCGCGCGTATATATGCGTTAGGTCCACTTGTACGTTTTGCCATCATTTTCTGGAATATAATTACCAGTGGTTAGAAAAACAGTTGTGACATGGCTATTAGAGTAAACAACATGCAAAAACCATCAAGTACGTGGAAGTAGAGGTCAACCAGGCCCTATTTTTTGTCATTGAGATATTTTCAAAGAGTAATTTCGTTCGAATTTTTTCAAAATGTGATAATTTTAGATATGTAATTTCTCTGGAAATGGCTGATGGTGGCAATTATTCATTTTAGAGAACTTGTCTAAATTTTACTGAGCGTTTACTGAGCGAAATTTCGGGTTGTGTTTTCTAAAAGTGACAGTTCTCATTATTGACTACTAGTTAGGTAATAATGTCCACATTATTAACCACTTTGAACAACTGCCGAGAAAGCCTACTTTACAAGTGGAAAAAAGGTTCACAATCATGTCATCAGACGCTAGTAGTGAAAAAAATCAATTTACTGGTAGTGAAATCATTTATCAGAAATGAAAAAAATTGCATCGTTTTTCTGGGAATACGAGATTATCAAAGAAACAATGCTTGTTTTGTCTTACAAATTTGTTGCATTTACACAGAAAAATTGCACATAGGTTCCTTCTTCTGTACAAATAGTAATTTAGAGAGATTTCCAATGTCCATCGTCACTGCAGTCCGCACTTTGTCCGCGTAAAATAGCTTCGGCACTAATGAATCATGAATCCCGTCGCACCTGGCAACACTTTGCAGTAGCTGTAGGAAAATGGCGAGGGCTGTTTTTCTTAAGTGATAATCTTTTTTGTAACTTGCATACAAACAAATAGTTATGCTCTCATCATGCACGGTTAATAAGTAAGTAACTGTAATTTCATTTTTGCATGCAACGGCAACTAATACAAAAGAATGCAAGTAGGTACATAATCACTAAAATTTCTACCAAAATGATGATGGTTTAAATTCAAAGATATTTTGAAAAAAAAAGAATTCGCTAAGTAAACTTGGCAAAATGGAACTTTATTACTGAAACGGCAAACGTATGCAGTCTTTTATTAAAGGGATAATCGTCTCGTGGCATATAATGTAAGATAGCTGTAACTTGATATACCATCATTCTAAACAATGACACCTTATATATCTGCTTATCAACACCGACATTCCTCTAATGTTTTTATACTTTATCCTTGTTTATAAAGGAATGCGTAGTCAAGTTGTGATCCTCAACTGTTTTAACGTACTTTTGTTTGTTATTAATAGAGTACACCACTTGCCGGATGCAAAATGTTGAAGGTACAGGTGTATCAAAAGAAATATAACGGCAAGTATTTTTACATTGGATCTGTTCAACTATAAAGTATTTAAACAATGGTAAAGCCTATCTATACCTACGAGCAGTGGCGGTCCCAGGGGGGGGGCTGTAGGGCCCCCCCATTGTCCATTTTTTTCATCAATTTTGTGTCGATTTCCATTATGCGAAATTTCTTTTATTTTTTTCCGTGTTGGGACAAAGTTCCCTTTACCAAATCCTGGGACCGCCACTGCCTATGAGTAATTATACCTATGAGTAAAAAATTACTCGTAGGCCTATAGATATCCACTGACTACCTTTTCTTAACTTGTTGAGTATCAATTCTCTCAGGGAACCTCGAAATGGGGTAAATAACAATCCGGAACAAAGATAACAAATTTATGGGGAAGGTTAAAGGTTTTCTGATCTTTGTTCCGGATTACCTTTTTTTAACAGTTTTATAAACCTGACTGTGTAGTTCAGTAGTAAATCGTTGGGCTACATGGGTAGGATGTCCGAACCCGAGCCGAGGTAAGAAGATTTCATGTGTGGCAGAGATGGGAATTTTCTTAGATCAGTTTCGAGCATTCCGCCGGCTACTCCGAATTAGGTTTTCCTGCAATTTGAGTTTTCCTAATTCGTAAGGTAAATACCGGAGTAGTAGACCTTCTGCAGGGGCACCTCTAAAACTTTTTTTTTCCTTCAAGGCGTCGACATCTTGGTCATTGGCCTTTTTTTTACTTATAGGTACCGCTATCGCCAATCATCACTACTCTAGGTATATGTATAATATGTTAAATCACAAAACATTATGCGGGACACTCTGTAATTGGGCGAAAGCCAGTTGAGGGCTTAGAACAAGAGGGACAATAAATAAATAAAAATAAATAGATGGAATTATATTTGGCGTTTTAAAAGGTTTCGACTTTTGGACTTTTTAGTACACGATATACCAACCCGACGTGATATTCGCCGCCACCAGCCACCCCAACCCAAAAATGTAAATAAACCGCTATAGCGGATCTACAAAAGCGGCAAAGCACCTCGGTTTGACGCTACGGAGTCATTGGATTTGACCCATTTTCAATAGACTTGTTACATGTAGCATGTAGGTCAACTGTGCACAGTTTGGAACGAATCGGACCAAGCGTTCGGCAGTTCGTGTTCACGGACAGACAGACGGACACCATCGACTCCCCTATATAAAGCTTACAGCGCAAAAAGATTGTGAAAGAGACTAATTATAGAAACATATGTGTAGATAAGTGTAGGTACTGAACATCAATATGTTCAATATACAAAAGGCATATGTATGTACTTACACCATTGATTTATAAACATTTGTGAACAGTATACAGAGTGGCCCAACGAGAAGTATACAGAGGGCTTTTAGGGTATTAAATTTAGAAATTTCGAAAAATCCTCGAACACGTCA